TTTAAATGCAATCTGTCCGACTTTACCTCCATATGTATGACCAATCTTCGCTTATTATATCAGAAATCTGGGTAAGCTCGCTGCATCGTATCTTTGGGACCAATTTTATTATGATCAGAAATCGACCCATTTAAATTAATCAAATTAATGTCCCTACTGTAAACTCGTAGGGAGCTTGCTATAGGTGGCAGTTGAAGATTGATTTTTGAATTGGAACGACTTGTTTGGTGTGAGCCCACCCGTATAGCCGTGGTGTCACAGCGTACCGCCCGCGTCTCGACTCCCGCCCGAGCCAGCAGGGAGCGAATCGACTCGTCCGCCTCCACGAGAACTAGTCACGTAATTTTCCGATTTCCGGATATTCAACGGAAAATCTTTACTTCTTTTATTTTTATTTTAAAACTCCGTTGGGTACGTAGCTACTGCTAAAGTAACGTTTTGTACCTATGCATATAAAACAGTGTGTAAAGGTTACGTTCAAGATACCAAGATGAATTCAATTACCTACATTTTTTGAGTTTTAAGAATTTTGTCCTTTGTAATTTATTTTTACGAGTGTTTTATGTAATGATCAAAAACTATTATGGCCGGATTTTAATATTTATCACTTGAAACCTTGGGTAAAGTTGAAACTTTTCTGAGATTTCCTCCGATCGTTCTACTGTAAGTCATTGAAAGACTGGACGAACGTAAAAGATTGAATGAAGGACAGTGTTATTTTCTTTCCTAGTTATTGCTTTGGTCAGACATACATAATAACTATAATTTTCGCTCTGCAATATATAAAATATCTGTGATGTTTTCATTTCTTCACGACTTTTTCTAACACGATATGTTTTGACGAAATTATTTTTTGATTGTGTACAACATCAGCATAATTTACTCAACTTTACTTATTCCCTAAGCTAAAAGTTAATTGAAGTTTCACAACAGTGAAAATTACATCAAACTTCGACCACAATTTCCAATATGAATTCTTAATACATAGATAAACAATAAATTACGTAGGAACTTCCTCGTTTAAAAACGGCGGGGTGTGAGTTTTGAAAACAAACGTTCAGAATAAATAAAATTCGTTTGTATATTTTTTTTATTTGACTCTCGGGGGAAATTATGCGTTCAAATCCCTCGACAGTTAGCCCTTATAAAAAGTTTATGCTTTATATTTTTAGTGCCGACAGGCCAATCACCGAATGTTGGGTGAAACGGTACACTGATCCGGATCAATGAAACCATGAAATGAAACAAAATTATGTTGAAGACTTTTGTAATAAGAAATTATTATCCTTGTCTTATTATGAAGACTTTGTGAAACAAGACATCAAATTAAATTACCGTTTTTTTAATGCTCTGGTGAACTCTCTGAAACTCTAAAGAAAATAGCATTAAGTTTGACCCAAATCACTAAGGGAAAGTTAAGTCATTAACTTTATAACAGTAATAAGAAAAGGAGTGGACGGTCCGGAGACAGTAACGAGAGGCATATTAAGTGGAACGTGATAGAAGATGAATTATTAATAAATCTACCATGTTTAGACTCAGTGTTCTTGTAATCATGTAAAATATACCTTTAATTTGCATTTATTTAATTGAAAGTAGAGTTTCCGCACCATTTTTATAAATATTAATTATTTTATTATACAAGTTACTACGAAGTATGAAGGAATTAGCGTACTTAGTCTGTTTTTGTATTTTTCAATGTTGTATACCTATAACAAGGACATTAATTATTAATCTAATTCGTTACACCTTTCTAATATTGTGTTTGTGAAACATGTAGACCCGTGTCACATGAATAATCTTTAATCTCGTGAAAGGGCATTCCCTCGGCATTACTAAATTACCAAAATCTGCCGAAATGTCGGATAGACGGTAATATTTTCCTCTGTGCGATGGATTGCCTTTGACACTTTTGTTATTCTGAAGTAAACACTTATGAACACAAATACCTAGCACCTCAGAAAAAAGTCAGGATAACCTTGATTTCACCTATTACTTTTACCTAATTTACCATATTTTAGCCCAGACTTTTCGCTTTATATTATGTAGAATGATGCTGATATATAATAAATCTTACAAGATATTATTGCTGTACCAATATTTCTCAGACTTATGAAACAATTTTGTTTTCCCTTTCGTCGAGAATAAATTAAAATCGACTTCTGTTGTTGAAGTTAGATCTCTCAGTGTTTATCAAATAAACTTCACCGAGGATTTCTGGACCATTTTAATCGAATTCAAAACCAATAATAACTTTTCAAATTGATCTTCTAGGAATATTTTAAGGATATTTTGTAGCTTGTTTCCTCATTGACTTTATAGGCCACTTTGTAATATCGCGCAATATTTAAAGTACGGACGTACCTTAAGAGTCAATGTCAACAATACCCTCTTAGCAAAGAGTGGTGCGCGCGGTGATGGGGCAAAGATTTTAATAGATGAAAACATCCCCCGCTCATTGACCTTGTTTCGGTTACCATAGTAACATACCGCCTAAGCGGAACAAAACTGAAATACCTTGGGTCAGCCTTTCAATCAACTGGCAGAATAAACTACGACGTTGGGACCCTTATTAACCGTATTACTCCCGCGACGTGTAAACTCAAGGAATGTGCCCGAAAACGGTAGTGGTACTTATTAGTTTGGCTGGCCCGTGACATATTAAAATAACTTTTCCCCAAACTGTTTCTGTATAGATCTCAACCCCATTTAATTACAACGCAATAGATGACCATAGTTACTTAAATATTAAGAGTATATTTATGCACTGATGAATCATTGTTTTGTTTAGAATAAAAACTAATTGACAGCACTAATGTTAGCAAGAGACCTTAAACCTAAGAATATTGTAAAATAATGTCTATGCAAATTATCTTGTCATGTATCCTTGAAGGTAACAATAACAATATAGGTAACGAACGCTGACCTTTAAGAAAATATAATGATTGACGTAAAAAGAACCTGAAAATCTCCATACTTGTTCGATCAAATATTTTCTACTTAAGTTACATGGTGATCCATTAAATAAGTCAAGAGCCATTTATGCCGACACGTCTGCACCTATTGCTGAGTGTGAAGGTTATCATTCGAGAGAAATCTAATATCCTTTGGGAAAACACAGGCGGTGATAGCGCGCCCCAGCGGAAAATAAAATATTCACCGACAGAGATTTCCTTTAGATAAACCTCGCATATTGTCCAAAAAGACAAAGGGACCTAAAGTGGAGGAATTACAGCATGAATGACATGATAAATGCAGGCTTTTGCTGCCATTGTCTTTGTTGCGCTCAATATTATGAAAACAGACTATTTTATGTTACCTAGGTCGGCTAGGTACGATGTTTAGATTTTTAATAATTAATAAGACATTTAATAATAATTAATATTATGTATCATACTAACCTATTATTATTATAGTTTTCTGACATTGACATTACATGTAGGTAAGGGAGAGAAACCATTGTAGCAAAGTTCGCCTTTGTAGGTATTCTGTTATTATGCTATAAAGATTTAAATAAATTGACTAACTACAATCAAATACAATCATTTTCTTTATTGAACAATGTACAAGGATTTAATTCGTAAGCTTCCTAAATCTGCGCGATTAATCGCTTTAGATTATCAAGATAAATAGAGGTCTCAAGGCAAGGGTCCAAACTAATGAATGCTATCGATTTACAGTTCACAATTTCAATATCGTGAGAATGAATAGGAAAATTGGTAATTTTGTAAGCTGTTTTGGATAAAGCGAGGGCGTGATTTTCATTAATTACCTACCTACATTTATATTCAGTAAGAAGACTTTATGTGTATCCCAAAAGAACCATTTACACATCATTTCGTAAGCAACTCAATATCAACTCCAATAAGATGTGATAGGCCCTGAACTTTGAGGCAATAGCAACTTACGAAAAAAGAAAAAGAAAATATGATTACAAGATCCCCTACAGTGGCGAGTGTCCAATCAAAACTTGTGTGAACAATAACTTACCTTTTGTGAAGTCATAAATATTTTCCGATGTAAGTAATCATAACTTCACATAGTGACCTACTAGCCAAACAACTTGCTTTAATTTTTAATGTAAAATACATACTCGTAGGTAGTATACCTAATATCTACTCTATTCTCTCTGTATGGATTTTATTATATCCTCGGTCGTGTGATAGTTCTATTTTATGACCCTATTATTTTATGAAAGGTGATTCAGAAGATTCCTTTTTTTGAATACTTAATAACGATTGAGTTATTAATTCTAACGCGTTTGACCATTGCGACGCAATGATCGAATGCATGTATAATCATTTATCAATTTGCTACACGAAACTACACTGTTTATTTATTTAAACCCAAGTTCTAGCACAGAACCTTTGAAACTTTTGCTTGAACGAAACTTGAAAAAAAAAAATTGTTTTTCACAACATAATACGCACTTATTTTATTAATAAAAAACTTTTGTTACCTTGATAATATTACCTTCGTAACAAATAGGTAGATACAACGTGCTTTGTCATATTTTTTTGTAATGAAAATCTTGCTCTTTGTCTCGTTTTTTGTGATCATTTATTAACAGTGAACACTGTTACTTTAAGGTACCTTCTTATCTACGATTACCATTGTTCAAATTGAAACCATCTAAAGAGGTCAAACAAAATTTTATCTAGCCGTAAAATCATTCTGCGGGTTCACGTAATGTATTTACGACGGCCGTTGTTGTCTTTCAATAATTGTGTTAGAGCGGGAGCGCCTTTTCAATTCAAATGGCACTTTCTTTCGTAGAAATAAAATATTGGTAGGCCTTACTCATTTGTTTTCAATTTAATTTAATTTCGCTTTTCCACTGAAATTCAATTTGCTGCTTTCAAGTAACAGTAAGTACTTACAGTTTGTAAGGTGAAATAAGTATGTATCCTTTTCAGTAAACGATTTATTTTGTGTCCTGTTTAACATGCAAATATTGTAAATACAATTTTAACTAACGGACATTCACTTCCCTAAGCATAATGTGTACCTACAGCATTTTCGCAGGAGAAGCCCAAGCAAAAACTTCGTTGCAGAAGGAGGTAAACTTTAACAAGTGAACTTTGTAAAAATTAACTGGGTACGACGAAAAGTTGTTCAAAGCACGAAAGTTTTTTGCTGAGAAAATTTCAAACGTGTCGTCGTGCTAAGAAAATATTTGGTTCAAGCTATGTAATAGGTATAGCAATGAAACGTTTTTTGGCACATTGATCATGTAATGCTATAAATATGGAACTATCTATAAATAATTTATGGAGCCTCTCCCTTTCCCTTAATATAGTGTGGAAAGTCCATTTCCCAAGAAATAGATTCGAACTGGGCACGAATCGCTTTCCCTTTTACTTACTGTTCCCTTATCAGGATCAAAGATTACGCCACGGACAAGAAATTGATTGATTAGGCGGAACAATGGATTAGCTATAAGCTTTTAAGGCTTCGGAATTAATTGACATCTGCATTAATAGCTTTATCGTGATCAATTCCTTTTCACTGAAACTATTACAACTACGAGTACCACGACTTATGTAGCTACTTATGATAAAACGCACATCAGTGCCTCTNGATAGCGAGATGCTCGGTAGGTAAACTCATGGTAGAGGCACAGATTGTTGTCTACAATCTCTACACTAAGTACTCTACTTAAGTATGAACAGTGGTCACAATACTTTTTCTGCGCTCTAACTTTATTTAACTTTAACTTTTGTTGTTATATCTAGATTACTATACACACACACATTACTACACTATTACATTAACTATTAATATTTTTAAAAATAAATTAAAATCGAGTGTCACAATAGGCTAAAATCTGCCCAATTACTAATATTTTGAGTAGTCAGCCACTTACTATGAAATTGACAGATTGCTGAATTCCGATATATTCCAGATCAACATAGTCCTATAATAAGATCAATTGACGCTCAACTGCTGCTATCAGCTTAGTGCGAACCATTCTGGATCAGACAAATCTAATTTGACACGTAATCGGATACGACCCGCAACATTTGTGTCCAGTGGGTAATTGCATATGTCTAGACACACAGTAGTAATACACACAAGTTTGTCTGTGTACGAACTTTCTTTTCGCAAATTACAAACAATTTTAAAAATATTTTCTAACTAAATGCAAAAGTACTTCGAATGCGAGCAAAGACTCTGAGACGCAAAGCAAGCTGCAAGTTGTTGAAATAGTTTAAGTATAAGTTTGTAAGCTTTTTGTAGCCTTATTAAATTTATTTTAAAATGTAGCTACCACACTTAAATGGATTCTTTTTGCTCTCTATGTTTTACGTAAAAGGATTGCGATACTCGTAGCTGCAGCTTTCAGGTGATAAATTCTGAACCACTAAAGCAGTGTAACCATTGAATTATACAAATCACCTTCTGCTTCTTAAGCAGTTAAATAATCACCTAAACTGCGTTACTTAACTTACGACTAGTATACGAAAATGTTGCTGAATTAACATCAAGTAACTTGTGTGATACGTTGTAACAGCCTACAGCAGTTCAATGCTGGGTCACAAATACCTACTTATTCATCGATTCTTGACGCTAATTATATTTTTGTATTGTCCTCAGAACTTGAAGAACCAGATTATGACCACAAACCTGTGGGTGGAGCAGTCGTGGTATGACTACAAGCTGCGCTGGGAGCCGCGGGAATACGGAGGAGTGCACATGCTGCACGTGCCGTCCGACCACATCTGGCGGCCCGACATCGTGCTCTACAACAAGTGAGCCCCGCCCGAGCCTATCTGTGTCCTAATCAATCTTCTAAAACACAGGACGGTGTAGCGATACTGACGCGAGCCAACAAAAGATACTTTGTTCCGATTTTCTTTATTTGTCCGGGAGATTCGATGGACCGTTAAATGGCATAAAACTAATCTCTGCTTGTAGTCTTTTATTTTAGAAATTACAGTGTTTCGTAATTATTTACTTTAGTAAGTAAATAAGCAAATAGAAAGGTAAAAGATATGAAACCGTAGTAGAAAAGCAAGCCAATTTTCGTTATGTTGACTGTAATTTTCCACTTCAATAAAAACCTTCACCCGTATTGGTCCAAACAAGAAACTTTCCTTAACTCCAAACTCTTTCAGTAATTGAGTCAGGGTAAATATTTACTTTATAAATTTAGTTCAAGTAATAACTTTCAAGCAGAATCTCAGTTTGTAACGTGGCAAAATACCGAAGTACCTACCTAGTATAGGTACAGCGTAAATATCGCTGTCTACTGTCGAGTCTGTCTGGCGAACCCTTTGTCATTCTCTAAAACGAATTGTCATTGAATTTGTTGAAACAATTTGGATTACTTAGACTTAAGAGTAAATTATTACCTACTCCGTGACTTGGTGTAACTTATAGCGGGCGTATAAATCACACCCCCTATGGAGTTGGGCCTGTAAGGTGCCACAAACGTTTGGCAAGCCGCCTAAGATAACAAAGAGAAATGACGTCACAGGTGACCCAACATTTTTTGCCTTTGAGAGGTAAAGCTCTTATTATCTTAGGACCCTTAATTCTCATAATCGGCTTTTTATAATCGTATTGAATTTAGGTATTTTATTACATGATAATGTAAAATAAATTGCTAATCCCTTGATCCACGCGATAAATAAAGCGTACCTACGGACAGAAAAGACAATTTTTATTTTTAATATAAGTAATTACTCATTAATCATTCATTATTGACTACCTAAAATACCTAATTGACTATTTACCTATTTTCGTTTGAATTTCTAATCACTAATAAATACTGAAGTAGGTAGGCATAAAATCTTGTGTTTCAGTTTGAGAAATCGATAAGTTTCATCTCAAATTTTCCGGTGAAAATGAATGACGTCATTTAAATGGGATCTTTCAAGCAAATGGGGTCTTTCGATTTCAATCAATCAGCCTAAAAGTAAATTTATGCGGAAAGGTCTTAAGAAACATAGGCTTAAGAACGGTTCGAGCGAGCACACGTGGGTTTACTAATTGAGTCTGATGGCTAACTTTGCTTTGACGTTTTAGTAGCTAAGGGCTATTAATTCCACTATTATCTGGAATAATTGTTAGTACTGTTAATAAACTGACAGCAAACTCCTACTGTCATACTATTACCTCCAACTATAAACAAATCGAAAACTTAGGTACTTATTCGAAAATGTATTTAAAATACTACTAGTACTAGTATTATTAGTTCAACATTACTAGATAATCCAATTTTACAGTAACTCTCAGACAAATATCTGCCACAAATGTTCTTTATACCGTTCTGTATTATCATCGCGTCTTTGTTGTACGTTCATCAGTTTATTTCGGTGAAATATTTTGTAGGTACATTCAAAGAGTTTAGTGGAAGGGTTCTTGGTTGCCACAAAGGGATCCCCGAGCTAAGTACTTATCTCCCGGATTATCTTGAGCGCACGTATCGCTACTCCGTCTGCCCTTAAAAAGTGATGGCTAACATTTTAAAATTACGATTTTAACATTTTCCTGTGTTATAGTTTGTTTTTTACATAATCACGAGTACGTACCTAAAACATAACACCATACACATTCGATGTTGCTACCATGACTTAAACACACATAACTCATAATTAGGTACATGCCTTCGATTGTAGAGGTCACAAACAATAGAAATCATTAGGGCTGCGGTCGTACATGTTATACCTTGATGCGATAGAAAAAGCGTCTGCATTTGGCTTTACACTTATCCGTTCGTTATTTATCCTCGACGTTAAAATTTGAGTACAAAGCGACAACTACAACACGACTACTTGTGTATGAGATTCTTTACTCTGAGGTTCAGAGTTTCCTAGTTGCATTGCATAGTTAATGCCTTGAGTTATGCGACTGCGGGGTCTTGTAGAATCGTGCCGCACCAGAGCACAACGCTTCGTGTGGCGAATATTTATTTTAACACTAGAAAATATACTTGATATATTTAATACAATGTTCTTAATCTTACAGTTAATGATGTTCTTAGAAATAATAAAGGTAGCGATAACAAAATTACTTATTTGGAAAGCCCTCTATGTAAAGGCCGTTTCTTTCTGAGATAAAAAGCGTCATTTTCTTCGGAGCGTAACCTGCTCACGTGCTAACAAGAGGGGGCGTGTTGGAGTAAATTTTAGGGCTATTGCGGGTAGGAAGTGGTTTTCATACATTTCAAATCAAAATACATAGCATGTGTTATATACACATGTCACATAATGAATTATGAATATGTCATTTACAATTTGCAGTCATCGCACGAATTTCCCCCTGGTTTTAGTCACAAGTCCTCAGATTTTTAGTTTTTTACTTTATAGAGATACAATAAGGACCATAAAGCCATATGTTTTTCAGTAAATTGCATGTCATGCCATACATGAAATTGCTATTTGGCCACATTGTACGAAGAAACACAACTTGAGGAAGCTTATGATGACAAAAAACCGGAAAATAAAAGATAAGGCGAAAAATAAAGGCGAAGCGTTTTTTGCGAATCCAAAGTCAGCAGCCGGTGTAGACAGGACGCTCGTGCTTTCTAAATCATTACTAAAGATGCGACGTTTGTTTATTCATAATAAATTTTCCAAATGACAAAAACTTTTTGAAAGTATAAACTATTAAAAGTTAATGTACGTTTATTCAGTGTTCATTTAGATACTAAAAGAATAAGGGAAATTAATCATAAAACAAACTTCACGTTATTATGCTTTTATCAAGTACTACTGAAGAAAATCCAAATGGAATTTGGTGTAGTTATTTTAGCCGGGTATTAACACTAATCTAAAAATCTGTACACTGAAAACCGCATGAAAAATTCTCTATTTCTAGAAACAACCAACAAGAAAAATAAATAAACAGAGAGATATATAGATAGAGAGAGATCTTTTTTCATAGGAAATTGAATAGTTTCCAGTTCATACTTTAACAATTTAGTTCAGTACTTTGAAATTAAGTATTACATTCCATCAGCTCTTCTCAGTAACTTACCCTGCTTAATGTTTCTAGCGTCCACGTAAAAGTTAAATTCTGAGTCGGACTCGTAAAACTACTGAACACCTACAGCCGACTAAATCGCATTAAAATAATTGCGGCTACGCTGAAAGTTGGTTCGAACTGAAAATAAAGTAGATAGTAAATGGATTTTCGTTTTAACGCGACGAAAGCTCTAAAAGCTCCTGGTAGCGGACAGCTTTATCGGCCAAGTTCAGTTCAGTCCACTGTTACTGTATAATGTTTTGTTGGTATTGCTAGAACTATAGTAAAAATTAAATAAGAATAAGAATAAGAAATTTATTCATAATGTTCATTATAGCCTGACCAGGAACATAAAAACCCTGGCATAGAGGCGCTTCAATTGCATTTGATAGTGCAACACTGAGTACAGTCGTACATGTGTTAAATTAATAGGCTAAAGGACAATGACCAAAAGTGGTCCAAATGTCCACCACTAATGAGACCTATATTGGCTTATAGTCCATTAAATAGATATTAACTTTCAATATGGGACGAAAAAAAAATAAGCTGTCAGTAAAAAGTTATGACCGTATGAAAAATTGTAGTAGTTTACGCACTAATCTCAGGAACTACTTACTGATCCGATTTGAAAAAATATTATTGTTATGGATAGCCCATTTATCAAAGATGGTTTTAGGTTATATAACATCACCCTACAACCAATAGGGGCGGAGCAGCGACCACCCGACCATAATTCCAATATTGATGTCTTTCTTTTGAGCTTATTTTTTTTTCTTTTAGCGAGAATCTAACACAGCACACTAAGCGACATCACATAACATGCATAGATTAATCCAAAATGTGCAATGGATAGAATGATATCAAGAACATTTTTCGGATGAAAATGTAAAAACCATGACTTTTCATTCAGTCATAACTTTTTACTGACAGCATATTTTTGATTGCGGTTTGGTTATAATGAATCTGTATTTAGTAGACTATTTTACTACATAGGTCTCGTTAGTGGTGGACATTTGGACCACACTCCATACATTTTTGGTCATTGTCCGTTTTATGCATCAGGATTCAGGATTACGGGCTAATTTGATATTTTGATAAATGAACGAAAAATATTATTAAAGGTAACCTGGTTTAAATAAATTAAATGAAACCATCAATCGAGCTAGTAGGATTTATTTTATTATTCATCAATAATCAAATTCAGAACTTGAATATTCAACTGCAATGTCTGCTCATGAACGCTTCGAACTCGGTACTTCTTTCCCAATTCCATAAAATTCAAAACTTAGAAAGTAAAAAAAAACTTTAAAATGGGTAGTTGAAACAGACTACAGCTAATTTTCATAGTGGACTGTACTATACGATAAACATGTCAGTCAATTTGACAACCTTTGTCGGAAAATTATTCAATGAAAATATTGTCCGAACCCTTAGTATTTCTCTTCGACAAATACATTAATACACCGTGAACCACTTTTCTTTCACGACTATAAAAATATTTTAGCAATTTAATTCACAAAATCAATTGCACACATTTAAAATAAAGTTTGTTTACACTTTGACAACAATAGACTGACATGCAAGGTGACATGTCAATGAAGTTTTCAGTTACTGTTGCCATTAAAAGAAATTAGTACCATTAGTTTTCCGCAACATGGCGAGGGTTTTTATGTTCCTGGTCAGGCTATACATGTCAAATTTTCAATATATTTTCTTATTAATAATAAACAATTGCAATATGATAATCGTGCTAGAGTTAATTAAAATAAGTCGACTGTGTAAAGCATTTATGAAGGTGAATTTTAGGGACCGGAATTAAGATATGAGTAGGTACTGTCAAATAAGAACTCTCTTAAATTGTTTTTCATTTTCGGATGGAGGAACAAATTGAATGCCCTATTTTACTTATCAATAGCCGATAGCCCAAGCCGGTAGCTGCTCAAAGTCATTAAACAAAATTAAATAAAAGACCCATTGTAAAAGAGGTCTGTATTTCTTTTCTCTTTGAATTCAGCTCACCAGGCTGGTGAAAAAACCAATAAACCTACGGTTTGACTGGCGTACCTTCGCTAATAGACGCTTAGTCCTCTTTGTACACGAGAGCCGCTTCACATTTGCGTGGTTTGAATGCCGCTGGGCCACTCTAATGACCGCGCTCTTTACTTTTACGGTTTTTATTTACTTTTTTCTGGCGACAGAAATAGACTCTTTTAAGCCTTCAGACTTACTGTTTGTTTGTAAGTTTGAATCTAAGTATGGCACATGTTTGTAAGGAGTCCTTCAGAATTCTTAGACCGATTTCGAAAAGAGAAGTAAAACATCATAGGATATTTTTACGTGAATACTCGAACACAGTTCGCAAAAGGCTCTCTGTTTGTATGTAACAATCGAAACGGATAAGATTGAGTGCTCAGGAAAAGTCATTAATCAAATTGAACCGAAGTAATCGTAAGTAATTAACTCGCTTTTCGTTACCCAAATTGAAAGAATAAGTTTTTGTACATCACTTCAAACAATGGTGGTTTTCTAGAGGCATTGTCACAAAGACACCTATAAGAAGAAACAAGCTACGTTTTTATGTAGATAAAAGAATCAGCACCGTGTAAATTGCCATGTAGAGGCTCTCGTCTTTTGCTCCCGAGTGCGCGCTCCAAACTTCTGCGGCCGTATCAAAATTATTTACATGTTCCTTAGAGTCATATGTCTCTATAAAAATACATTAACATATTGCTGCCGCCAACACGTGTCGATTTGTTTTTGACGTAAGTGACTTATAAACAAAGAATAAATTATAATAAAGAATAAATTAATTCGTCCAAATGAAGCCATACGCCGTAATTGGCTGAATACTCTCGGCTGATCACGACGCCAGTCCGCGACTTTAATTTATTTATGGAAAATGAAGTGGTTCACTTTTTTGGTTTTAATTCTATTGATTACAATTTCAATTTTCGCATCGCAGGTAAAACGATTTATTTTTCAATAGTTAATAGGATTAGATTCGTGACTGATTGCTCAATTAAAGATTATTTATTTTCTAGGTATCCTCTTCACAAAATAGTTCAACCCATGGATTGAGAAATATATTGTACAACCTGAAGTACTCCATGACAAAACTCGTCCAAGATGTGAAGGCAGACCTTGACGATGTTTTACACAGCACGATTAAGGCAGTGGATCGATTGATACATTACAATCATAAATCAGTGAACGATAATAAAATTTAAAGTTCGGGTGGATCATGTCTTAAAGGACTGTACCACTGTACTGTCATTTTGACAGAAAACGTGTATTATGTAAAACACTAATAAATGATTGGATATGAAATAAAGTGGCAACTTGGATCTATTTCTACTTTATTTTCGGTTTGATTTGCCTTTGAATACGTTCTAGACTAATGATTAATGTTACGATGTAGTTGAATTATGCGATGGCATTCATTTTGTTCCGTCCACCACCTTCGGGCGACGCCGCGACTTTGATAAATGGCCGGACAGCTATCGTTACTCATTTCCGATCCTCCCTCTGCAACCTGTGCGCGCCTTTCTCCTTAATGTGGACCTTTTTGCTTTCACCCCGACCAGAAGAAACCACTACGACTGTCGCCCTTTGAATCACGATAAAGGCATCCGCCTCATTGTGTCGCCAACTCATCTTCCTTAATTTAATATGTCCTATTTTATGTACCCATTCATTCATTTTGTTTAGTTTGTATCAATTATTTAAATCAAACCATAAATAAATAATAATAAAGAACATAATAATGTCTGTTGTCGCTGCATGTTTGTGTTAAATGTTGTGTTTTATACGTGTAAATTTGTAACCTTTTCCGGAGGCACGCCGCGCGGCTCGGTCCCGAAATCACCGTAAATAACTGATGTGACAGGTGCATTTTCGAGACCCCAACCGAACTGTACCTACCCCTGTCAAAAAACCACATGTATGCCTATATGCTTCGAGTTTTGCTTGTCACTCAGATCTCTACTGCTGAGCCTGAGGATTATAAACTGCGTAGGTAAGGTAGGTTAATATGTTCAATTGATTACATAGGTGTATAATTATTTTTCATACTTAATCAAATATGGTAATAATTAAAAAATAATTAGGTATTCATATTATATAGCATGCGTAGTTATTGGTTAAAACTTGCCAGATGGAATAAGCAAATAATTGATTAGGGTACGACGTACATAAATCGATAACAGCTATGCCAACAACACAGACACTCCAAGTTAAGAACCATTGACTGTAGATAACAAGAGAACTAATTTCGCATTAGAAGCGACGTACAAAGTCAACACTTGTAGATAATAGCTTAGTTTAGGTACACAGAACACGACAAACAGCAGTCGTGAAGCGATTCGCTCTAGGTGCAAGGCGGCGTGTAATATGCGTTAACATTGCAGTGCCGACGGCAACTTCGAGGTAACATTGGCGACCAAGGCGACCATCTACCACCAGGGGCTAGTCGAATGGAAACCGCCTGCCATTTACAAGTCTTCCTGCGAAATTGACGTCGAATATTTTCCGTTCGACGAGCAAACATGCGTTCTTAAGTTCGGTAGCTGGACGTACGACGGATTCAAGGTAATTTTGCGGAGCTCCGTCACCGCTTTCGCTGACCGTTCTGTTTGTCCGCAGCGCCGACGGCAACTACGAGGTGACGCTGATGACGAAGGCCACTGTCTACTACAACGGCATGGTGGTGTGGCAGCCGCCTGCCGTCTATAAGTCCTCGTGCTCGATCGACGTCGAGTTCTTTCCTTACGACGTCCAAACCTGTGTGCTTAAGTTAGGCAGCTGGACGTATGACGGCTTCAAGGTGACGCCCCGCTGTACGCTGCTTGGCGGCGCGCGGGCCGTAGCGTAGGGCCCGCCGCCCTGGCCGATGTCCATGCAATAGCTTGTTGGCTCGAACGTAAATCGTCGTGTAATTATTATATTACTTTCTGTCCATGTGGTATGTTCTCACTTTTACATATTGACTGTACGACGGTGCTAGCGCAGAGGCGGAGAGCGCGCGTCCCGTGCCGCCGCCCGCTCCTCGCCCGCTGCTCCTTTAGCTCTGACATGTTGCAAGTTTACATTTCTATTGGTGATGTTTATGTGGAGTAGCGGTATGTCGACGTGCGTGACCACGAATGCTCCAGAATATCCTCGGTCGATTCCACTTAGCTCAATCGGCCTTCCTCGCTCGACAAGGAAAGGTATAAAATTTTAACTGCCAGGTGATATGGGATGCAAACTTCACTCAATCCGTTCCCATCCGACACCTCCCGCTCCGTTTGATCTTTCCGCGCCCGGCAAATAATATGAAACAGCACTAACTCTCAATATCAGACGATTGCCGTTTAAAGTAATGATCAGTGTTCCTAGAACCGCGTCAAGGGGCGGAACGGCGTCAATCGGGGCTTTCACACCTTCCCTTAGCTGGCTCCGCTCGCGCCACACACTAACACAAATACACTTCCACATATAAGCTTGTTGCATGTTTCCTTTACGGTCGATGTACACTCAACCCACCGCATGACTCTGGCTTGACTCCGAACCACTTGCATTCCCGATCACGGCGGCCGCTCGCCGCAAAATGCGGCCGGGGCTTTTACACAGCTTCACACGATACCTGACACGCGAACAAGTAAAGCACAGCACGTGAAATGATCAGAGATAAAGCTCACACTTGTGGCTCTTCACGTTCGAGCATTACTATCTTCATAAAGCATATTTTATACCTTTCCCTTTCATAAAGAATTCGGTGTCGCTGGTCGTTCATTGCATGTTTATCATTACAAATAAAAAGACGCAATTCTACTCAAAATTAGACACGGAGTCCAAAAATACAAGACATGCTAGATGTGAAGTAGTAAAAGCGCGTCACCAGTCGAATCAAGACGATGATAATTCTCGTTTCGGCTGATGATGCGTTGTGTGCATGCTATTACAACACTTGAGCAAAACTTGTACCTGATTCCAAAACTACTTATTGTTTCTCTATAATCTGCTTAACGATTGCGAGTAGTTGTGCATCGAAGCGTGTTGGGATCAGGCGCTCGTTGGGGCCGCGCGCGACACACACACGCGGCGGAGCCGGCGCCTCCGCCCTCCTCTTCAAGTGCTTGACTGCTTGCCCCCGGCGTGCCTCGAAGTCTACGCTGTAGGCGAGAGGTACGTCACCTCGCATAGCAGTCAAGAAACTTGAACTCGGAGACCTCTTTCCTCGATTCTCGCGGAAATTCCACGACCTTTCATTACTTCTCGGTGTTTTCTGTGTTTACGCGTTGTGATTTTATGGCATGATCCGGGATATTGTTGTTGTCTCCCTTGATGATTTATTGTTGCGGTTGATCGGTTTTTTGTCCCAGATTAAAAACTCTTTCAAACCAGGTACATCTACTTGGCACACTCTGTGGTATGGTTTAGTGGCATCCGCTCCGAAGGACACCTTTACTGTTTCATGAATTGCTCGAAAGTTAGTCATCTAGCTGCATTATTGTTTAAAGTGAGTCTGTTTTGGGTGATAATTCAATGGCATTGTACTTAGAATAAACTAATTTATCGACTTCACATTGTGTGACAGGGTGCATGTATCGGATAAAACGGTAACTAAATAAGATTCTGATTAAACCTTAAATTGCCTTGATGATTAAACTTAATAATCATAAATAATATCAACTAATACGCTAAAGCAAAAATGGGTGATTGGAATTACGAGTATCATGATAGAACGATTTATTATTTGTGTGAGCAATTATTTGCAAATTATTATTTGTGTAGTACAGACATTTTTGCTTCACGTATGTAGCTGATTAGATATAAAATGCATTATCATAAACGCCTTCGTAATAAATAGTAAGAAATTGGTTTATATGTTTGTAATTTCGGTGTTATTTTAGATGTGATAAAATTGGTAAATAGTAAGGTTTACTTAACTTGATATAATTGAAGTATGAATTGTAATTTAATTAGTTGTGTGTAAGTACTTGTGAGTAGCGCGTGGTGGTGGCGTGGAGTCGCTAAGCTAGTTTGGGTGCAGGTGGACCTGAGGCACATGGATGAGCAGGCCGGCAGCAACGTGGTCTCCGTGGGCGTGGACCTCTCCGAGTTCTACATGTCCGTGGAGTGGGACATCCTCGAGGTGCCTGCGGTTAGGTAAATACTTTTTAGTAACTATAAAGTTCCTTGCAATTTATTCCCTGAAATTTCTTACTTGAGCTTCCAAACAACACTTTTCTAACCCTTATATTTATAGGAGCTATTTTTCACCAAAAATGTAGAGTCTGATGTGCTGTCGTCCGTAATATAACACAGGATATGAAATAGTATTTATAATATTATGAAATTATAATGTTAAATTTATTCTTAGTCGTACTTAGGTATACCTACTTAATACTAGGAATTTTGAACGCTAAAAAATCTGGCTGCCAAAAGAATGTCAACGAAACAAAACCAAAAGCACTTAGCGGAAGATTTGCGTAAATCTTTGCCCATCCGTTTCCAGTAGTAATCGCTGACACAGTCGAGTAACCCGCATGTGAACTCTCGGCTGTCTTGCCGAGATAATAATGTGTTTCCTCTGCCCCACCCACATCCGCTCCTTGCGGTTCCCTTAGATACCTTTCGGAGACGAGCGGCTTTTTACAGCGGCTCTAATTTAGTCAATATTGAACGGTGTAGCTCCGGGATGTTGTTGCCTCTTCAAACGCTTAACGGTTAACTAACTAACGCTCCGTGCTCGGTTGGTCTTTTTGACTAGCTTGAACCTTAGTAAAATGTAAATTTTAACTGAGCTTTCCACGCGTTTACACTGTTATGTGCCTACTAAATAAATCTATAGAACTTTAAGTCACAATTCAATTAGCCTGTGATGGAATTAGAATTGAATAGTTTCAAGTCATTACGTTCAACAGTTTTTAACTGTACACAAGTAAAGATAAAATGATCAATTTTAAAGTGCGAGTAGTTTAATGTAGTATCCTCAGATTTATTATTTGTAGATAGAGTCAGATGCGTTACCTATCTACGTCATAGTCAAACAAAGCAAATTAAAACAAAGTGTTTCTTTCATCGATCTCCTTACAATGATAGTGGACTAGGTACATTATTTCAAGTCCCTTCAGCGCAGACACCAGAGAAAATATTGTTGGTATTTACTTTCACTTAGTGCGACGCGCTCGGAAAATAAACACGAATGGCTTTCGTTATTAGTGGCCACACATTTTTCACGGCGCTCCGCCGGACTAATGAAACGATGCGACTTGAGGACACTTTTAAAAACGATCCACTTAATTAATAGGATCTCATTTTGCGTGCTCGTAAGCATACAGCCTCTGCCTCGAGTAATTTTGTTAGTGTGGGTTTCAGTGTTGACATCAAATAGTGGTTTAACTTGATTGCTATACCGTCTGATGTTGTTAGATGAGTGCTTGAAATAATTAAGTGGATAGGGCTGCAAAAACATTACCGATTAAAGTTCCATTATTACCGATGTCGTTGCAAATTGGAGCCTCCCTAAACAGTAACCTTTATGTTTTATTCAAATGAGAAAGAGAGGGTACCTCAGCGCCTGTCCCAACACTTAAGGACGGTTATCGAGGCTCTCGAAGTCACAAGTGTCATTATTAACCCGGCATCACTTTTACGACATGTATCCGCTTACGTTCACTAAAGCCCCGCTTAAAACGTTCGCTGTACGTTTATCGCAGGTTACAGATTCGCCCCCCGGCGGAGAAGTTTCGCTTAGCCGGGCAAACTGCCACGCACTGTTAGTTTATGTTTCGAATGTTGCGAGTTGTATTTGCATCCGCTCACCTCTGTTTGCTCTTTTCAATAGCAAGGCTAAAACGAGGCTACATTTTACATTACCTCAATGTTCTGAAAATATGGTTGCTATTTTAATTGAAAAGAGGTTTAACTCGTTGCGGTTGTAGCCTTGTGCGGGATAGCTATATCTAGAGATATTGAAAACGTATGCTTTTATTTCATTGGCTTTTCCTAATTGAACTCTATAATTTGTATACTGTGAGTTTGCCTGTATTTGATTATAAATTATGATTTGGCAAATACCTTAGATAGGTACATTTAAATAACGATGTCTTGAGATACTGAAATCCATCATACAATTTAGATAAATTGTAAGGCAATTTGAATTAAAGACGGAAATATTATTTTCCTTAATAAACACAAATTGGAATTCCCTCGGATACCTACATAAATTTACATTTGATTATCCATGACAATCGGCTAATTTGAAATTCATGTGCTATCTTCGTATTGAAGGACTGGCAAATTAGTTTCATTAGGTTTATTATGTGCTCCATGAGCCGGGAAGCTGCTGAGAACTTATACCTATGTTGGTACCTGTTCTGGTATCTGTTCTAATATCAAAAGCCACCTTAAGCACGTGTTTAGTAAACCAGTAGATATTTTATGTGAACTATTCTCACTATCATGAAATATTTCATTGTGAATAAAACTAAATGTATATTTGGCGCAGTTACCAAAAACGCAGTACCCATATGTTACCCAAATAATATGTAGGAAATAGTAACTGTAACAGTTGATATTAGTCAAATAAATATCAACCAGAGCTCAAATAAATTTTTGAGCTCTACTAGTGTAGCAGTATATTACTGTATTAACTTAAAGGAAATATTTATCATTTCTAGAACATAAAATCTATTTCAAACTAGAACTGGAATAAATTGCTCCGTTCGCTTTAACTTCACTTGAATGTGATTTGTTGGTGTCAATCTGAAAATTTATCTCGTTATCCGCTAAAAATAACTATGGCGTCGCCCACGTTTTATTGCATTACCTTGTTACTCCGTCAGCCAGCAATTATTTTTCCTTACTACAAACTTACTTAGTAGGTATCTATAAAACGGTGCGGTTCGTACTTTAAAGATATTCTGTAAAATCTACTTTTAAAGCGTCTCCGCTCTGCGACGACGAAGCTTTTTACGCAATCACTTGCGACAACGTAATTCTACCCTTGTCACCATTTCTGTAAGGCTGAAAATCTAATGACAAGATGCTATCTAACCAACTGACTCTCATTCAACTCCTTTGATTGTAACTGTAAAAATATTGTGACTTTCCGATTTTAAGATATTTTAGGTAACATTTACTTTTAACTGGTTCGACAAAAAGTGTTTTGATTTTCAGAGTCATTTTAACAAGTACCTACTAGAAGATTTTAATGATCGTTTAGCATTTATTTTAACATTTTACAACGCTCCTGGCTATCTTTATTATATTGTAAATACACTTGAGAAAATCCAGTCGAATATAAAAAAATAAAGGCGATAATACAAGTAACTTACTATCTTACTTTCTAAACCATAAATAGTTGTATGCTTCTTGTGTCCATTAAAGGCTGTTAGCGTAATATATTTCAAGCCCGAAACAATATAGCCGTATTAAAAACACTCACTTGGCTAATCGCCAATTCCATACAAAGCGTGATTATCCTCACATATGCGCTAAAACTATTGAACGCATAGGCCGTAGCTTTTTCCGAGTATTATGAATTATGAAAATTGCCATTGAAAATGCAGAAAGGTTTTGTGTTACGAGACTACTCGCAATACGTAAAAGTTACAGCGATTGAGACTGACTTTACGGTCTATTTGATCGATACACAATAAAAATGCAAATATGTTTTATGGAGCACTCAACCAAATTACTTTACCTTCAATTTAGTGGGAGCGCTATTCATACGTAAACGGTTTCATTCTGTAAACAGGTTTTCTTTGTTATACATTTGATATTGAATTGATGGCTTGCTAAAAGTTATAAGACAAAGTGGCAGACTTTATTTTTTGTATGGGTGAGGAATAAATGAATGGGGGGTAACACAAAAAAAACTTTTTTTCACGTACGATGAAATACTGCGAAAGTTGTTACCTGTTCGCTGACACATGTTGCGTAACTTATTCTAAACATGTAACAGTTGCGAGTTTGCTTATTTACGTGTAGTTTGTTTGCAGGAACGAGAAGTTCTACACGTGCTGCGACGAGCCCTACCTGGACATCACCTTCAACATCACCATGCGGAGAAAAACGCTGTTCTATACCGTCAATATCATCATCCCCTGTATGGGGATATCATTCCTCACAGTCCTCACATTTTATTTGCCTTCAGACAGCGGGGAAAAGGTACCATTTATATAGCAACAATTTTTCAAAGATTATTTTTCAGTGCTGGTTTTCACTTTTCAGAAAGTTTTCAGTGGAGTTACAACGCATTTAAGTTAGTTGTTTCTTGAGAAATACTCGTATTGAACTAATATTACAACAGAAGCTTGAGAATTAGTATGTAACTCACGAATTATTAATTTATTCAGGATCTACATGTTCAATTGTTCATCTTTAAGTCCTGTTTAATTGAATTGAGTCTCCTAACCCGGGGAGCATAGTTACAGTTCTGTGGCTTTCCGAAACTAACCTTGCCTGAATATATGATCGCGCTCTATTAGATCTCGGTTTGAGTTTCGAAGTGTTTGATTTAACATCTTCACGCTACGAAACGTGAAATAATAGAAGTAATAGTTCGCAGAATACGTTACCGTTAAATCTACTGTAATTGAATTCATGATAAAGCACTCTTGCGTAAAGTTCACGTTTTGTTAAACTTCTAAAATAAGCAGTATGTAACAACCAAGATTGAATAGGTCTACTGAATGTTATCACGATCCAGAGCCATCTCAATGGCTTATACGTATCATTAATTTCGTTTAGCGGCGCAACGAATGGCGAAAATAAAGTAGATAGGCGACTCGAGAGTGGCGAAGTAACGCTGCAGTAATGACATCGTTTTATGTTCTTGAAAAATTACTCTAACATTATTGGATTAACTTTACCGCACTTTGAATACAAAATTACTTGGTACCTTCGGCGACGGCCGATCAATAGAAGAAGAGAACCTGAAAGAAGTTGTTTTCATAACGTAGTTTAGTAAACAAATATTAAGTGGTTTTACGTTGGTGTTGATCAATCTCTTTATCTAGAATTTAAAACTATAGAAACTTTATTTATCTTGGAGTAGGTACTTTTTGAGTTTTCAAAGTAAAAAAAAATAGTTTTACAGGGCGAATTCATAACCTATTATTAGCTGTATAAATAATAAAATTAAAATACCTAACTCTTCTTTGGAGGTTTGATTGTATTCATCTACCCAAACGATGGTCATTCATCTTCTTTATCTATTGATTGATTTTTAAGATTATTATGTGAAAAGAATAATCAACAACCTATTTTTCCCCACAGGTAACACTATCAATATCAATATTGATTAGTCTCCACGTGTTCTTCCTGCTAGTTGTTGAAATCATCCCTCCGACTTCACTGGTTGTGCCCCTCCTGGGAAAATACCTTATATTCGCTATGATCCTCGTTTCAATCAGGTAAGTCCTCCTTTATTACGTTTACCTTCGTGTAGCAATATACAATATTGTAAAACTTTTCTTGAAATCAATATTCAGTCTGTGTAAATAACTACTGTAACTCTAAGTCGTTTTTGGTAGTTGTTTTTATTACTCTTAGGCTGAGTTGCATCACCTTATTTTAACCATGACTAATAACCATAACCGGTATTTTTAAACGGTTTCATTTCTATAGAGTTTGATAGACATTTGGCGTCCGTTAAAGTTATAGTAAGATGGTGTAACTCAGCCTTAGTTCTTTAAGTTTTTCCAACTATGTACTTTAAAAACATGCATAAACATAATATTATTTATAATTTAATATAACTTGTGCATTATGTTGGTTAACATAGAAAATTACTTAGTACAAACGAGAAAGGCAAAACAAGTACGTATTAATCGGTAATTAATATTTAATCCTTTAGGCTTGACAATGCAAAATATTCGTGTTTGCATTCATGAGATTGTATTGAATATGCGGTATTATTGGTCGGCACCACAGCGAGATGCGGTCGATTGCCGTGGGTAGGTATTTCTGTAGCTATCCCATCTGCTGGATATTTTTAACCGCTGCATAATTTACTTTATGACACATATTCCCTACATGGTTAGGGAAATAGTGTAAAATATTTGCCTTCTGTGGCTTGTTCCGGAATGCTCGGCATTACATCGAGCCGTAATTTGCATTGCGTTGTGGTTGTTTATGTCGATTGTACTTCTCTTAAGCATAACTAACATATATTTTAACTGAGAGATAAAATATGAGCCACACTATCAAAGGCTAGCTTGTCATCTGAAAGAGCTTTAATCTATGTAGCGCTAAAGTAACAAAATTGCACGCTGAATAACGATAACCTAGATACGAACATCCTTGACCTACAAAGTGTTTATCATACAAACACTGGTCAGGGGTACGACGGTTACTGATACTGGCTTATGATGCAGGAATGATTAGAGTAAATGACATTGTCCAGTGATGACAATAGTCTTTACCTAAATAATTTAATAAATATGTACCTACGTACTTCATATAACATGATGTCTTCGTAGAGCATAAAAATCTACGTCGAGTCAATATTTTTTTCTCCTTCGTATTTTTACCTAAGAAGGCAGATTCTTTGTAACAAAAAGCTTGTTTCTCCATTTTCCCGCTTCTTAGATAAATGAAAAAAATCATAGATAAGCCTCTTATCTACCCTCGTATTTTTATGAAAAATATCACGAAAGCTAATGCGTGGTGTGTCATCTACGAGTGCCTACCGAGGCTTTATAGGTATAATTAATTTCTATGTCATATTTCTATTTTACTCTGCAAAGACGTGATTAATATTTCATTTTATTGTGTGTAGGAAGAAAATAGAAACGTGAGAAATCTAATCACTCACTAAGTAAGTAATTGTTCAGTAAGATTAATGGAATACGTGTACTATGGCACACTCACGAAACTGAAATTCAGGGTAAAGGAGCCTCATTAAATACTCAAAATAGACAAGAACAATGATATTTGGTTACGTTTATTTGATATGGAACGTATTCTACGCAAGAGTTGACATTGGCGTAATTGTATTAGTATACCTACGTATCATTCACACGAGCAAATAAATACGTCCATTCCTAATGCCTTCATGTGAGAGTCGGCCGCATAAAGCGTGGCGACGTAGATGACTTGATCCTCCCGTCATATGTGAGCGATTAATCAATGTTTCACTCATTTTCACTTAAAACTGTTATTAAATGTGCACAAATATCGTACTGTCTGTATCTAAATACGTTAAAAATGGTGTATTTGTGATCATAAAAAGTATTAAATAAAATATGGTATTAATTAATGTACCATACTATTGTTAATACATGAAAGAAAACATTAAAATCACCATAGTTATTACTTATACAAGTGTAAAATTCCAGCCTGAATCCCACCTTATAAATAAAAGTAATTATTTAAATATGCCTTAGTTGGTTCGTTCACAAGCTGTGGCATTACCATATAAATTAAAAGCCAGTTTTCTAAACAAGATATTTGATTGCTTACTCTAAGCTCAAAGAAAATTTTGGAACGATTTTGTTCCATAGCCGTATAAAAACATGCAATTAAAACACTTGAATCATTGTCTGCACAAAGTTCAAACCTTTTGTTTTAGCTTTCATTATCTTCAGAATAAATAATAAAACACCCATTAGCATCACAAAGATACTTTCAATTTGTTTTGAGCTAACAAACGAATAATTTATATTGAATGAAGCGGTTTGGCCTGACTGATCAATCAACGCGCGGCAATTTGTGACATATGTTTATTGTTATTGAATTTATACGCCTACAATACTGAAAAGGGTGTATCCAAGCCGCAGAGAAAAGCTAGTGAAATATAAATGCGAGTTTTAAACTTTTCACCAAAGCTTTTCATTTCAATGTTCTGAGAATCACGAATAAAATGAAACTTTCTAGATTTCGTAAAAAGAATAAATGTAATCATGCAATTACGAACGGTACGTAAGAAAGAAGCAGAATTAGGTAATGTTTTCGCATTTGTTTGGGTAGGCATTAGCACAAAAACGTATAATCCCGAAGAAGGTAAACAGTCCTGAAACTGCTTATTCAGGACGCAGCGCAGCCGCCCTCGGCAATACTAGCGCCCGCCCTACGATAAAGCTCACCCAATAAATCTTGATTAATTACTATCTACCCCCACTCCGTGTGTATTAAAACTATTACCCACTCGAAATGACTTGCTTGTCTTGTTACGTCATGAAGATGTTTGTTTGGTTTGGAAACTAATGAGGAACTTGTTTAACGTCTATAAATTAATATGGAATTGAAAGTTAACATACTAACCTAACATTTGATTTTACGCGTTGTTCTAACAAATTAATTAATCAATCAAATCTATTTGAATTAATTTCGTCAGTGTTTATGTTTACTTTAGTTTCAATATTCGAATTAGATTTTCTAATTATAAAATAAGTTCAGTCACATAACACTACTATATTTTTGACTAGATTTACATAAATATTTAATGCATTTCTATTCCAACAGTATATGCGTGACGGTGGTGGTGTTAAACGTCCACTTTAGGTCACCGCAAACGCACAGGATGGCGCCGTGGGTCAAGAGGGTGTTCATCCATATCCTGCCAAGGCTGCTGTTCATGAAACGACCGCAGTACAAATTCGACACGACGAGGTGAGCCAATCCACTTAGTACTTGATTTAGTTGGACTATGTTTTTAGTACTAATATTTATTATGAGCTAAAGCTACAAATAAATATGTATGTGTTATCTACATACAAAGCTTAAAATCACTTGCTAAAGTACCGGGACATAAAAGCTACGTAATAAAGCTCTATTGACATTTCGTAGCGTGTGTGTAGTCTCGTAGCTACGAGCTACGAAAGTTGGCGTAAAACAAACGCCTTCGTCTAACTTGCTTATTGCTACGAGTACGAGCGTATGGGTAACGGAACTATCTAAGTACTTCTCAACGTCAATCTATTCTACTAATTAGAGGTTATAATGGGTAAATAGACAAATTGAATGGTTTGTCTCGTGGCCAATTATACGTAATTGACACTGCGACATGACACCAAGTTCTTGCCCCCATCGGTTTACCAAAGTGAGATCAGCCGACTTTGGAATCTAAGCACGGATCAGTAACAAGTGTAAATTAATTATAAGTTGGTAAAGGATCGCGCACCGTTGAAGTTTGCGCATATTTCCTGCCGCGGATATTCCCCTAACTTTAATATTAATAAGCTCACAACTGCAAAGTACTTGTACAAGAATTAACCTCTAAATTAATACTTTTTTTCTTCAGAAGTTTTGGCTTTATCTCAACTTGTAATTGATTGATCTTGCTAAAGATCGAGAACAGTTGAACTTCTGTTTGTGATTATTACGTAGAGGCACTTTTGAGTTGTTAAGTAATCTTACGACTACCTACAAGGACAACTGCTGAAGAATAATCCCAACTTCCCAACTAATATTATAAATGCGAAAGTAACTCTGTCTGTCTGTCTGTCTGTTACGCTTTCCCGCTTAAACCTCGCAACCGATTTTGATGAAATTTGGCATAGAGATAGTTTGAGTCCCGGGAAAGAACATAGGATAGTTTTTATCCCGGTTTTTGAAACAGGGACGCGCGCGATAAAGTTTTTCTGTGACAGACAAAATTCCACGCGGGCGACGCCGCGGGCGGAAAGCTAGTATACATATAATATGTAGATGACGTAAGTAATATATGGGTATTAATCACATCATCACGTATTTTTGTCACGTTAGTTGTAAAGGGGATTATGCGATCGTCTATGCGATCACTAGACACAATAGAAAATCAAATGACGGGCGTGTCTTCGGCGGGACGTGCTGTCGTCAATTTTAATTAGATGACGTGTCCTGATTGATAGTAATCCACACTGAATATGATTACCAAATATTTATTTGGGTATCCCTTATATGAGTTTTTAATTAAACTGTATTCATTTTATCATTAGGGTATGACACTGAATAAGCCATTTTAGCAACTGATTGTTTAATATTAGCAGCAATTTAATATTTTTGCCAGATTAATACAATAGCAATTTATTTTAATTTATCTGTAACAACAACGCTGTCTCACAAACGTAAAAATAACATGAAAAATGCTTTTCAATATTTTCAATCTGAGCTATCAAATCGAATTAAATAATCGTTTGTTATAGTCATAACTTAGGCAGTTACTAAAATTCTTAATTTAACTAGAGTATAACGTTTTTGCTAGTTATTTCTTACATAATGTTTCTTAATTTAACTAGAGTATAACGTTTTTGCTAGTTATTTCTTACATAATGTTTTCTTACTGTTATTATTGACGAGGACTCTTAACGCTGTGGGTTTAATGTTATTATATCACCTGATGAACTAAGGAAAATAACAAGGAAAGATGCTAGAAAAATAAAAGTACCTACCAGTTTTTCTATTTGCTATCTGAGGATAGCCACTTGGTATCATAATTCACTTAACGAATGATGTCTATTAGCAAGGCAAGTGCTATAATGGCCGCTCGCTGTGGTTACCGAACATTACGTAAATGGATCAGAGGGGCGAATTACGGACTGTAGCGACTCTACTGACGATAACCAGTAGCCTGAAAATGGACAAAAATTGGTTTACAATATGTATGAGACCATTATTGTACAGCGAATATGGTATTAACAACCCCTTTTTCGCTTAAAAAAGGGAACCAAAGTAGTTTAGGGACGGCTTGTCAAAGCTTAAAAGTGAATTTATTAGGATCAAAATCTTCTTTTCAGAACAATATACACACTGTTTGTAAAACATAATGTATATGTAAAGTGCTTGCGAATTTCTTAAATTCAGCACTAAGTTTCTGTGAAAGTAGACATTTGTTTCGAGAAAATAATTACTATGATAAAGCACCCTAAGTTTATGTGATAGCACTCCTCCATATTAGGAACTCCTTAAAGGAGTATGTAACTTTGATTGCAATACACAGTTAAATCTTAGTACTTGATGAACAATAGAGGTACCTACTGTCGGGCACCACAAAGTGTTACTACGAACAAGAGTCAACAGAGTAGAACCAGCGCAATGTCAGTCGCACCCATCAAATAGCCCACGGCTATTTGAACATACCGTATTACGCCTTACCGAGTCAAATACATATTATCGTCTTACGGAATAATGTATGTAGCAGTCACACTTCCAAGGATTAATGTGATTAATTCACATCTGACACGGTTTACACACAGATTTTCGCAGACTTCTCAATTTATTGTATCGCAGGACTACGCTTTGTAACTTTCCTCCCCAAAGTTTTGAAGTTCAGTCCCCAAAGAAATTAATCAAATGTAAAATAGGAGGGTTCCCTAACTTCGACTAGTTACTGTCTTAATTATTTTATTACATTAGCGCTTGGGGAACTAACACGTTACTGTTTTAATTACTTTGTATAAAGTTAAGCTGTCTGCAATGCTATCGTGTGTATCGTATATTTTATGTACGAAATTAAGTTCTTGATGACTCAATTTTCTATTGTGATCAATGTACGAGTACCTACTTAGTATGAAAAGGTTATACATAAGACAGAAATAGAAAAATATTTAATCAATATCATCACACATACCTACATTATAAAATACGCAATGAATGTTACTGAAAAGGTTCTATGGTGTCGCAGCACCTCAGTATTGCTACGACGCTGGTCTTCCGTCTTACTTAAAAAATCCATACAAAAAGAAATTGTCACTCTAACAGTTCTTCTTTCATTGTTCTTTTTCTTTGTCCTCACAGATCACGGTATACAGCGTGTGGCGTCGTGGTCCGATGCGGGGGCGCCGCGCGGCCGCTATACCCGTACCGGTTAGCGGCAGCCGATGATGACTGCTGTGCGCCGGGTGCTTGGCCCCCGCCCGCAGCGCCACCGCGCCCACTCACGCGCACTCCTAGCAAGGAAGACCTCACGCACACCACTTACCTCAACTCAGGGTAAGACTTAATGACAATTTAGGCGGTGATTTATTCCATAAGCTGGGTTTACCAAGGGAAGTCTCTCCGAAACCATTTGAGGTAAGTCAGCGTTATTTGCTGCTAAGCTCCAATCACTGCTACTATAAGGCCACACGCTCACCTGTTTATCAGCTCATGATAGGCAATCTTCCTTCAGCAGTTATAAAGCATAATTAAGACTTTTCTCCTGGCACAGGCAATCATACGCCTAAAAGGAGGCTTCATCTATTAGTATTTAAGTAAGCCTTTATAAATAAATAAAGAATTTTGAATTTTGAAAGACTGAACGCATTCGAGCATATGTAAATTTCAGGACACCATGCATGTTTAAGAGTAAGTAGGTACGACAACCAAATTATGACACTCAAGTGGTTTATTCCATCGAGATAGTCGGTTTTCCTGGTCTACAAAGTGGAGATTTCTCTATTAAATCATATTTCTTTGTAAAACCTACAAGAACCTATTTACACATGTAACGAAATTTAGCAGAGACATGTCTCGTCGTCTCTACATTTTGCTTATACGCGAGTCGTGGTGAGTGAGTTATGACGGTAACAGGCGACATGAATATTTGAATAGAGTGCAGATGCCTTGCCGCACTGTTATTAAATTGTCAGTTATGGTAACGTTTCTATGAATGCCTAATGTGACAAGGTTATGAAGCGTTTATTAATTAGGACTCGAGGAATTCATGTACCTGGTAGTTGTGCATAGGTTACCCAGTTGGTTTTAAATATTTTTGCATATTAAATCTAACACGGACACGTTGCTGCAACAATTTATGTTACAATATTTTTTATTTATTTTCTAGCTCTGCTATTGTTGGCGCAGTACGTCATTAAAACTGCTTGCACTGCACATGTTTTGGCTATAAAGCGTGACACATGCGTACACAATTCCTATATGTAAGCTTTTAAATGCAGGGATGCGAGAATTTATTACAATTTTTATCGCTATTTTCTAAATATTACACTATCGATCAACTTAAGCTACGAAAAAGTTCCGATTCGCTCACGATGCGCTTCATTCTCCTATAGATACCTATAGCTCTCCGCTGTGAGCCTAAAGCATTTATTGGAATGCAGCGAGTTTTGTATTAATGTTATTTTGTGAAACAGTAGGTAGGTATGAGTAATAACTTAATAATTGGTATCGATATTTGCATAAAATCTGCGTCGTAGACGTGCGCGTATTTAAGGTATTTGAGCAACTGGAGAAACTCTAGATGTTGTTTTGGTCACAAAAAATTTGGTTCAAAAGCGGGACTTTTCGTAAATGTTAACATCCCACTCTCTCGCCTAAGTATTTTTTTCCTGTACAGTAGTTAGATAAGCTAGCGCAAATCCTCAAACAGGGTTGGTTCTCTAAAAGGTAGCCTATTTTCAGTAAGTCAACCGTTTCACGTTCTTAATTGAGTTGTATTTCACAGCAGTATGGGGGAAAGCAACCGCTTTGGCGGCAGTTGTGTAGTGCACGGGTCCACCGAAGGCGGCGGCGCTGGGCTCGCGGGGGCCGACGAGGAGACCCTCAGTCCCGTGCCCGACCCCCCACCAGGGTTCAGCCACTCAGCCTGCCCGCCAGAAGTCCACAAGACTTGCTTCTGCGTCAGGTTCATCGCGGAACACACGAGAATGCTCGAAGATTCCACTAAGGTCAGTATAAATTTAAACCATTTACAGTGACAGTCCTGAAAATTTTCTTTCACTTTCAGTGTGGAATATTGTGAAAATAACAAAATAATCTATGGTCATTGTTTATTGTTTTTGTCTATGGCAATAAAAGTTAGTCTTAAAAAAACCGCCAACTGCGTTTTATTAACAGGTTATGGGCTCAGACTCAAAAAGTGCGAAAGTATATAATTTCCGTGTATAAAGTTATAAAAATGTCGACGAACTATATAGCAAACGTTCCAAAACTTAGAGGTCGCGAAAATTATGACGACTGGTCTTTTGCGGCGTCAAATGTGCTGGTGTTAGAAGGCATGGCGGACGCCATTGCAACACAGTTAGCGGCAACGGCGACTACAGCCCAGAAAATTGAAGATTCGAAGGCGAAAGCAAAGTTAATCCTCACTATCGATCCGGCGCTTTATGTTCACATAAAGCAGGCAGCTACCACATATGATCTTTGGACTACATTGAAGAATATGTTTGATGATTCAGGCTTCACAAGAAAGATAAGTCTATTGAAAAATCTCATCAACATACGCCTCGAAAACTGCGAATCTATGACTAATTATGTCACCCAAATAATAGAAAACGGGCAACGGCTAAGAGGAACAGGCTTTAAGATTTCGGATGAGTGGATTGGTGCATTGATGTTGGCGGGACTACCAGAAAGGTACGCTCCTATGCTTATGGCCATTGAACACTCAGGTATCGAAATAACCGCCGACATTATCAAAACGAAGCTGATGGACATGAGTGATGATGCAAGTACGTCTCCAGTATCCGAGAATGCATTATTAGCTAAAGGAACTCATAATCATAATTCTCGAGGGAAAAATAACAACGTCAACAAATACNTAGGGTGTTATATCGACTAATGCCTTTCTTGATAAATGGGCTATCCAATACAAAAATAATTTTTCAAATCGGGCTGTAGCTTAGTTCCTGAAATTAGCGCGTTTAACCAAACAAACAAGGTCTTCAGCTTTGTAATTTTCAGTATAGAAAGCCATCTTTAAAAGTAATTAGGCTTAGGTTTAGCATTATACCTTAGTACTTTTACAGAACTAGTGCAAAGATGTTAAAATATCAAGTACCAGTATAAAAAAACAATAATTTACCTTAACTAACAAGTCCAGTTTAACTAGACCTCCATACACGTACAAAATGTTTAATAAAGAGGGTCAGCTTATGCTGGTTTTTAGTTTTATAATTATTAAAAGTTTTCTGTTCATTTTTTTAACATATTATATAAAAGTAAGAGTTTTTAAAGCGTTTAGTACCTATTCCAAGCCTTAAATAATTTTGTCCAGCTAGATTGGCCTTTTGGTTCACAGTGCGATGTACCGATTGCGATCTTTTGCAGTGTGAATAGATTTGCCGTGAAATAAAAAAAAACATTGTCAATTACATAAATAAATAAAAATATGATGAACAGTTAATTTAACAGCGCTAATGCCAATAACGTCAGGAATTCACTTCCCAAAATGCTTTGCGCTCATGGAAACACGGAGGAATGCCTTTCGTGTATCAACACGGAATACGGCTCCTTGAAATACATTTACCGGCGATATCTCGATACCGAGTCGACATACTCGTAAATGCATGAATTAATTTCCTGCGTCGGAAGCGTGCGGCACTCCTGCGGTTAAGCCAGAGATCACACTCGGCACATCCTCGAGGCAACTACATACCTACTCATAATGGTATTACAGCAATTGCAACGGTTACCTGCAGATATAACTGATTATTTGATGTAACATTGAATTGTAAAGTGAAACATAAAATGCATTTTTAAGTTTGCTGATATTTTAATAGAAATATATTTGAATTGTTAATAGATATAGAAGCTATTTATTAATTCTGAGGATATCAAAATATGTATTTTATAATGATGTTCATGTATTATGTAGTCAGAAAAAATTAAGGTGACCGTCGCATGTCATATGACCCAACGCACACCCGTCCCGCCCGGCACGTGTTCTATTCCACGACACGTACTATATTAATTATACTTACTCTAATCTAAGATTAAGAACTATTTCTCATATCTCTTCTTGTCTCTTGCACCAAATGTTAGTCTTAATATCATGCTAAACAAGTTTCACAAACATTCCCATTCTTATTCCCAAATTTCCTGTAACGTTCCTAACGACATTTCAACATCTAATTGTGACAATAAATCATAGCAATCGACATGATTTTCATCTTACGTTATTTTTGGTGAAAATTTTGTTTCCAATAATTGAAAACCTATCTTTTAATTCTGAATTGTAAAAGTTGACCAAAATTATTTTAATTTAAATAGTTTAAACGAGATCTCATTATTTATAGATTAAATAAGATTAATATACGTTATCTAGATGTTCTAGATTTAAGAGAATGAACGAAACACCACCAAATGAATATTGTCTGTGTTCAACAACAATCTAGCTAATAGACGTAGTAAACATAGATCTTTACTTAAGCTCCATCATACAATATACGTAATCTCCTATGTGCACCTCGCTTAATCTAATAAGGATGCGTATTGTTTTGTTTTATAGCGCTTAAGTAGGCATCGAAATCAGAAGTATTTTTAAGAATAGACTCTAGCTGTAAGATCCCACCTATTTTGAAGAACTTTGTCGTTGTAATATCATTTAGGTGAAATCCCTCGACTCTTCTAAGCAATTCTTACTTAGTTATGTTTGTCGTAGAATAGAACATGTACTACACTAAAATAAAGTTATATCGATTTTATTATTTATAAGGAAACATAGAGGAATCGAAACCAACGTAACGCCGACATTTATGGAATTTACAAAGCAGTTTTGAAAGAATTGTTGGCTTCGGAAAATTAAGTTAACAATGTATTTATAATATAAAATATCTACTGCACATTTACAAAGAAACCAATGTAAAATTATCCTTATGATAATAAGTACAACATAACGATTTACTTTAAGTGATGATTGCTCAATTTTATGAATGGGTATCTATTTCGCTACTGGATCACCAATCTAGTATATAAATCTGATTATGTTGTTATGATCATTTTAACTTGTGTAAATACAATTTCCTTTCTTGAAAATAAATATATCCATACGTTCGGTTATGGATTTCAACAATGTTGAATATATAAATATATTGTTTATGTAAATATATTTTCCATGGGCACGGAAAATCTGTGTCAAACTACAGACAGGAATTGAAAATGAAGAGAATGTATTTAATATAAAATGAAAGAAGATTAACAAAACACTTTTAAATATATTTGTACAAAAATAAATAACGTATATAAACAGTTAACGTAAAGGCTTTTCATGTCACAACAAATAAAAGATGATAAATATATCGAAGAGTCACTCGAATACAAGCATACCTAGGGAACGTATTGGTGCATAGTAAAACCCTTAATGTGAATGAATAAATTATTCTAGTAAATAAGTACTGAGCACATTGGACTGCTCGCGGTAGAGTAGCGCAGCTCAATTGTAGAGAAATAAGTTTGTAATTACCTATTTATATTGTTAATAAAACCGTTATACATAGAAAGGTTGTTTCATTTTCCATGTTTTCTGGTTCATGGACGATCGACCAATACCTAACTTAGTATTTGTTGGTGGCAATTATTTTTATAATAAAAAACAGTCAATAATGGTGTTGTTTATTTAATACTATCATCTAATTACTAATTGTCATGGTTTTCTAGGCATATTGTCACATAATTCTAAAAATAAATTACGACTTACGAAAAATAAGTCTAAAAAGTTATATTATATTTATAACATATAACCTACTCAACCTACAGAAAACGATTTATTTTATGCAAATCCAAATAAGTCAGGGTCATCGAAGACACTAGTCCCGACATTGTCTACCTTTTTGAAATAGTCTTTCATAATGGCATCGTTTTGTTTGCTTTTTTCTATTAATGAAGTGGCCTCTTGGACAGCTTCTTTGTGAGCAGCACTGTCCTTGGGCGCCAATTGAAAAAACTGATGGTAATCTGGTAATTCTTCAGGATATTCCACATTCTTCTCCGTACTACTGGGTTTTACTGTAGTTGTCGTAACAACCACCTCATATTGTTGTGAAGATCCATCGGCAAATCTGAACGTCTTGCTAGTTTCATCCATAATTTTTTTTGCAACACCTTTAAACGTTAAAGGAAAATCCTTGGAATTTTTTATGATATCGCTATTATCTTTTTTAACTTCAGCCTTTTCAAGTTGTATTGGTTTTTCTTCTTTTTCTTCCATTTTTTCAAACTGGCTCTCGATTTCTGCAAATGCATCATCTGATTCTTTATCGGCAGGGGTTACTGTATTTGGTGTTGACATTTCGTCTCCACGCAAAACACTTAATATCTCGTTTAAGATGTGATGTATTTCCGTGGCTTGAGGAGTATTTTTGTGATTTAATTCAAATTCATGAAGTACTCTAATGTCGCCCCAAATGCCGTCTACTGTAGGGTTAGGATTCGATTCTACTTTTCTTAGTTCCCTTTTAACTTCTTCGGATATGGTGCTTAGTTCGCGACGGAGCAAAGCTGTTATTTCAGGGAGTCTATCACTTTCGTGGACAATATTGGCTTTAGCTTTAAGTATGTTTTTATGAGCATCATTTTTATCAATAAGATCCAACATTTTATTATGTACGTTACTGACAGATTCGTCAATTTCTTTTGATACTCGTTCCGACAAAGATTTTTCATTTGAATCAGTTTTAGATACGTAAGATGAAATAATTGTGTCTTCCTTTTTGGCTTCTACATAGGTTGATGTTTCTTTATTATTAAATCCTCTACATCTTGTATCATAATCTGATGACTCATGAAAAATTCCACCCAAGGCTAACACTTGTTTCACTGCTAGAATTGTGCATCCGATAGTTTCCCGAACGTCCACAACCACGTCGTTTAGGAGTTTCCCGAAGCTGCTTTCTACTGAAGACATAACTCCTCGAAATTCATCAAAAAATGACGCAGATGTCTGGAAACAAAAGTATAGTTAACATAAAGGTCATTTCGTCGATAATTCACAAATGCATATTAAATCACATAAAGTAGGTCCAAAAACATGTTGACTTGCATACCTGCGTAAATAATACACAGAAGAAAATCACCTTCCACTTCATGGCAAACATAAATGATTTAATAGTTCCAACATGTATTCTTGCAAGTGTAAGCCAGACTTATGAACGTAGCTTATTACAACTCTTTAATATATTCTAGGAACTTATTTCTGTTTGTTTATGGTGAGTACGACACGCGATACGATGGAATCGAAACACTTGGGCAAATATTTAGCGTCTTACTACGTTAGACTGCTTCCATAAAGCAAATTATAAGAAATATCGTAAAAATAAGCATGGTTACTATGGAACATTCTTGCAACAATGAATGTAGGTACTACTACGGACGCTAATAGGTAACGGTAAATATTTAATTTAAAACGTCAGAAAATAGAATAAACAAACGTCACAAATAAAACAAAGTATTTATGTTAATGAGCTCATTTATTCACTTATTATTATATCACAAACTTTACGTTTAGTGCAGCAAAGTAGGTTCATTTACTTATTTAAAGTGTTCTTGAATGTTTGTTAATTACAGAAAAAATGTATTTAACAAAAATTTAATACCTCAAACTCAGATCTATAATATTGCATAATTGGTTGATGAATAGATATTGACTATATTGTACATGAAGTTGTAAGAAAACCTATTTTCTTGTTTAAGCAGTATAAGTGTAAGTTTGTGTACCTGTATTTCAATTTACTTAGAATCACAATTTAAGTGGAATAGTAATATTTAGGCACAATGGCACATTAAACTTACACTTAGGATACATGACGTCACGTAAGTTTTATTACTCCTATTTAAATTTAAACAATGTAAAAGTTATAAATCATGAAAGGGTAGATTGATTTAATTAATTTCTTAAAATTAATAGTAAATAATATTTTTAATATCATATTTAAAAAAGTTTTTTCCACAGTCCATCTTAAGATTTATAAGTCAAGATCACAAATATTATATTTATTTAGTGTTGTGTTGTACCTTTCAACACAAAGCCATTACATAATTTTAAGATTATTGAATTCATAAAATATACCAATTAAGTACACAGCATTGCATGCACTTTCACTTAATAATGTAAATAAAAATTTACATTACAAACATTATTAAAAAACAATACTAGTTTGTTACATTTTATGCTTGTAAACTGTAAAGTAATATTTCATACCATTATCGTGCATGCGTGACCGTAAACAAATGCCAGTACTTTGTGAGATGTAATGTTATAAAGATACCATTATTGTACCTACATTTACAATACACATTTATTTATGATCTCAAAAAACAAATCCAGCTTTAGGCGCTATGCCAGTTACCATACTTCTTAAAAACCGAAAATAATTTAAAGTCCATGCTATATTACAAGCTCAAGTTGACCCGGAAGTACCTACTTACAAGTGTTACATTTTATATCGATACAAAATAAAATGCACGAACATTTGTAAAATATACACCAACTTATGAGATACGTATCAAAACAAAGTAATCGTTTAAATAATTTACATCAGCCAGTAGCATCGGAAACTGAAATAATTCTAGTTTCCAAGCAACACTGATGCAATAATTCATACGCTTGCAATACAGTATACAGTATTGTCGCTTGAACACATTTTAATTTACATTATCATATAAGTAATAAGAAATACCCCTACGTGATGCACATTTAAAAAATGCTTTATAAAATTATTGTTGTGACACACATTACTAATCGTATTTTTTTTACTTTTTGTATTCTTGGAACACATATGCCTTACCTCTGCACTCTGCATATAAAAATAAAGATGTTGTCTAAAATTTTTATTTGCAGGATTCGTGTTTTACTATTTCTAAAGTTCATCCATGCTGCTTAGAATATTTTATAGTTGGATTTACGCCCTTTTCATAATTTGGCACTTTTTGAGCACAATCGGTAATTGCTTTCGATCTTACATACATTTTCTAAAGTATTAAATAGATATAGTTTTTTAAATCCTAACACCAAACTAAAATGTAAAAGGTTCATTAAATAATTCTAAAATGATATAGTTGCTATAAACTTATCTATTACGTGTCGTGATTAAAGTGTAAATAATAAAAATATAAATTTGATTAAAAACAACATCATAAGATTTGAAAAACTGTATAAAGTGTAAATAATTGAATATGGTAACAGTGGAATGTGATTGCTGTCCTTTACTTCTGTCGATAGACCTTTATAATAACAATAAAAAAATTAATTGAAGTAACGTTGTTTCAATTAGATTAAGATTACACGTATTTTCCAAAACATATTATAGCAAAATGCATATTTTTATTATTAATTAAAAACCGAAAACATTTGATACCTTGATCCCTCACAAAGTAAAATTGTAGGGAATTTACTTTGCGTTTTTAAATACATGTAAATCGTTTTTATCTACCTTTAAAATCCACTATGTACCTATCGCCTCGTATAGGAATACTAGAATACTTTCAATCATTTACTTGATCATTTTGATGTTAATTTATGGTTTTGATCATTTTAAACATAATTCATTTCCAACAACAAAATAACAAATATCAGAATATACATGATTGATATAGTATACATTAACTTTATTTTTAATATCAAATAAATTGCGAAAAATAACATTTTTTTAAGGTAATATCAATATCAATATAAGGTAGGTAATATCAATATAATATTTTTATTATGTACTTCTACCTAATTACGATATTACGATTCGATATGTACGTCATTTACACGTAATACAACATTTCAACAGAAACGGGCCAATACACAATCTTATTTAGATTTAACATTTTTATCGATTCCAAATAAACTCTAATCGCGACAATATGGCATCGTCACTCGTAACCGTCGAACTACATCAACACAATAAATAAATAATACAGAATATAATTCATTTAAAGCATCGCACTACTCGTTAAAAGTATAATTACAAAAGCGGGAAGAGATCATTCACCGAAATAATTCACGAGACGCACCGGTCGCATCATAAAAACGCTCAAAGGAGCCGCTACAAAAATATCTTTCGACCAACGGGCGGTACAAAATATAAAGGTACTTTAATGCTATCGTATCTCATTCGACACTAACCTCCGAGAGTGGATCACAGTCCCGGGCGTCAAGGTAAAGCCGGGGGCTCGTCGCGCGGCGGGGTGGCTTCCCGGGCGGGGGGGAGAGGGAGGGTGTCCTCGTCCCTCGTCGGGGGGACGGGTGGTGTTTCCTCGAGGGGGGAGGCGGGGCGGTCGAGGCCGCGGGGGGGCGGCGCGGGCGCCACGTTAAGTTTGGGCAGCGGCGGGATGGACGGCGGCGGGGAGGCCGCGGGCGAGGCGGCGGCCGGGAAGCCGTTGGCCATCCTCTGGTAGTGCTGCTTCCACTTGTTGACCGGCGGCGTGTAGTTTAGGTGGTCGTATTCCATTTCTGAAATAAAAATTGGCGTTGAATAACTTCTCGACATAAATAGGACAATGATCAAGTTCCACATACGAGTAGAGACCTGTAAGCTCAACCAAAAAAAATCGAATGAAGGTGAAACGCTCCCAATTCAACGATATTGAAAAACTAGCTTTCCGCCCGCGGCTTCGCTCGCGTGGAATTTTGTTTGTTAAAGAAAAACGTTATCGCGCGCGACGCTGTTTCAAAAACCGGGATAAAGACTATGTACACCGTTCTATGTGCATATAAGTTTTAAATAGATAAATTAAATAAATAAAAACTATCCTATGTCCTTTCCCGGGACTCAAGCTATCTCTATGCCAAATTTCATCAAAATCGGTTGAGTGGTTTAGGCGTGAAAGCAAGACAGACAGGCAGAGTTACTTTCGCAATTATAATATTAGTATAGAATAGATAAGCAAAATTAAATTAATAGAATCTCCATTTCGCTTGTCGATATAAAAATTTCTTCTTTTTTTCTTCTTTCAATAAGATAAAGTTAATACAATTCGTATAACGATAATTAAAACAACTTACCGTAGCCCTCCTTGTGCTTTATCTCGTCGTAGACGTGATCCAACTTATTGTCATCGTCAATAAAGTGGTATAGGTTAGGATTGTTCGCATCCGCGTCCTTGTTCTTCAGGGATGACAGCGGATCGTAGGTGCTCGACGATGCTAGTGAAAATAATTGTGATAGGGATTTCATTTTTGTAGTTATTACAATCTAATGTGTTTAATAATAATACTATGTTAATCAAAAGTGTGTACGACTCACATATGTCTACACTTAAGTGAATATCGCGAAGTATGTAACAACTAGACAATGTCTGGGCCAATACTAAAAAAGTACTCAATGACTAGAATGTTCTCGTGATAATTTCTATGCTTTTTAGTACAGTTAGCTAATGTATTTTGTGCTTTTGCTTAGTTTGAAACATACAGGTAAAATACAATGTGATCTTACTGTCAGTAGAACCGCTGGCACGCATTCGCAGTTTCTCCATCGTAGTGTTGTTCAGTTTGCCGCCCAAGTTGTTCAGTATTTGGTTGGCGTTGTTGAGCAGTGTGGTCGAGTCGTCGCCGCGCGTCGACCCTTGGAACGAATAAACTGGGTTGTCGAAGTGTTGTTGTTCTGTAATGTTAATGATGATAGTGAGGATAGGAGTTAGTGACGGAATATTTGTGGCTTGCTTTTGTATGCGTGAGAAAGTGTGCTCAATTGAGATAATTATCAAAGACAAGTATCGCTCGTTGTGCTAACAACGTTGTGTGTCCTTATGCATATGATATTTCGGATAAAGATATACGAAGTTACATGGCATTTTTAGCTACTCATGGAAGTAATGTTGTTGTAACAATTTCAAGGAAGATAGAACTGAATAGGAAATCTAACTTAAATTTCGATGGACCGAGGGACGACCTAAACATGACTCGATGAAAAAAAAGTGAGACTTGGTACTCTTCGGCATTCTGGGGCATTGTTTGTTTTATCAGGGGTCGAGTGATGACTGATGATTGTGGATTAAAGATATCCGGCGTCTGGTGACTGCATACCATGGACTAATATAACTCGTTAGTCTATGTCGCAAATCATGGATTAGTTCTAGCTCTTACTCAGCCAGTGCCAAGTATGGGAGCGGCACGGGAGGGGTGACATTGACATATTATGACGTGACAGAGCATACAAATCTGAAGTCTCACTGACGTTTGACGTCTCAAAAACGCCATCCCGTGCCGCTCCCATACCTCAGGCACTGACTGAGTTAAGCGCTAAACCTAATAAAACAATATCTCATTAGTCCATACTGTATACACATATCAGAATTGAAAAAGAGGCTGACGAAGGTGACTGAGTTTCTTCCGCCAATTCTTCTCAGCACCAGTCCATTGTTGTCGAAGTGGTGGTAGGGCAAGCTATATTTGGGACTTGTATATGTGCCCTAGAAAGGGTCTATACAGGGTGTTAGGTAAATGGGTATATGAGCCAACACTAGCTCATGTTAACATGGTCATATAAATGGTATGGTGAAGTCAGAAAAATATCTTCATTTTAATTTTTTTTATTTTCATACAAATCGGATTTCATAAAATTTATTTTGTATGAAAATTAAAAAAATTAAAATGATGATATCAAAGGACAATGACCAAAAAAGTATGGAGTGTGGTCCAAATGTCCACCACTAACGAGACCTATGTAGTAAAATAGTCTACTAAATACTGATTCATTATAACCAAACTGCAATCGAAAATATTTTATGCTGTCAGTAAAAAGTTATGACTGAATGAAAAGTCTGTTTTTTACCTTTTCGTCCGAAAAATGTTCTTAATATCATTCTATCCATTGCACATTTTGGACTTATCTACGCATGTTATGTCATGTCGCATGTGGCGCTGGGTTATAGATGAATTTGATTAAATAATAATATGTGCCTACAACTTTGTACGCGTGAAAATAGTTTGAATAATATTTACCATTTTTACAACATTTGTCTTTACTGCTCCGCCCCTATTGGCTGTAGGATGATGTTATTTATCCTAAAATCATCCTTGATAAATGGGCTATCCATAACAAAAAGATTTTTTCAAATCGGACCAGTAGTTCTTGAGATTAGCGCGTAAACTACTACAATTTTTAAACGGTCATAACTTTTTACTGACAGCTTATTTATTTTTTTCGTCACGTACTGAAAGTTAATCTCTATTTAATGGACTATAAGCCAGTGTAGGTCTCATTAGTGGTGGACATTTGGACCACTTTTGGTCATTGTCCTTTCTGACTTCACCATACCATTTACATGCCCATGTTAACATGGGCGCGAGTGTCGGCTCATATACCCATTTACCTAACACTCTGTATACAGTACCTCTAGTAGGAAAAACTTTCGAGTTCGTTTCGTTGCGTATTCAAAGTGTCATCGAAAAATTTTGTATGAAAAATTAAACAGCGCCCCCTATATTATAGCCGCCCTAGGGGGCGCTGTTTAATTTTTCATACAAAATTTTTCGATGACACTTTGAATACGCAACGAAACGAACTCGAAAGTTTTTCCTACTAGAGGTACTGTATAAACCATTAAAATTTCATTTCATATCGCGGGCTGTACCTGGCTGCGAGTGCGGCGAGGCGGTGTAGTGCACGTGCGCGATCTCCCGCTTGAGGTGGCGCACGCGCTTGCGGTAGTACAGCAGCACCAGCACGGCGCAGCAGCAGCACAGAAGCGACAGCACCACCATCGCCACCGTCAGCCCGCTCGACGAGCCTGCTGCCAACAACCGATACTTAGGCCCAGTTTTTTGATTCATAGTTAAAATAACTAATTGTTAAATTTTGCTACTAATGGTTAAATATTAACAAAATGTAAACAATTAGTTTAAAAATGTACTAAAAGTCAAGCTAACCATTGTTCGAAAAACATTTTTTTCTGATATTTAACCACTTGTCATTTGACATCTGTCAAATTTGACTATTGGTTAATTTAACTACGAATCAAAAAACCGGGCCTTAGTCTCAGTACTTACGCCCGTATTAAAAGTACCTTAATGAAAAAGGGCTACTATAAAGTCGATGATTATTTAAAAGATAAAAATGTTTGGGATACGTTACTGCCTAGCTCGCATAAATATTTATAACTTTGTACATTTTAAAGCATGTAAACCTTTGAAAAAGAGGCTGACAATAGTGACTGAGTTTCTTGCGCTGCTTCTTCTCAGCACTGGCCCATTTATTGTCCTGAAGCAGTGGTAGGGTTAATACTGGGACGTGTAAAAGTGCTTTTTTTAAGCCTATTTACAGAAATAAATGAGTTTTTTTTTTAATTCACAAACATTACTATGAGGTCTCACAGTGCGCGTGGACGCACAGGGTGACACACGAACCAATCACAGAGCTCTATTCAACGCTGTGCGTTCGATTTGCAGCTTAACTTAAGCAAGCATTGTTTGTGAATACGGGCGTTAGTATCTAAGGCTGAGTTGCACCACCTAACTTTGACCGTAACTATAACGATAAAAGGCGTTTTTTGTATGGAGTTTGACAGATTTCTGACGTTTGTCAAAGTTAAAGTNGTTTCTTGCTCTGCTTCTTCTCAGCACTGGCCCATTTATTGTCCTGAAGCAGTGGTAGGGTTAATACTGGGACGTGTAAAAGTGCTTTTTTTAAGCCTATTTACAGAAATAAATGAGTTTTTTTTTTAATTCACAAACATTACTATGAGGTCTCACAGTGCGCGTGGACGCACAGGGTGACACACGAACCAATCACAGAGCTCTATTCAACGCTGTGCGTTCGATTTGCAGCTTAACTTAAGCAAGCATTGTTTGTGAATACGGGCGTTAGTATCTAAGGCTGAGTTGCACCACCTAACTTTGACCGTAACTATAACGATAAAAGGCGTTTTTTGTATGGAGTTTGACAGATTTCTGACGTTTGTCAAAGTTAAAGTAATATGGTGCAACCCAGCCTAAGTCTGAGTTGCACCATCTTATTTTAACTTTACTAAACGTCAAAAATCTGTCAAATTTAATACAAAAACATCGGTTATCAATATAGTTACGGTCAAAGTTAAGTGGTGCAACTCAGCCTCAGTAGTGACAATACTACAGCTGAGTTGCACCACCTAACTTTAACGATAACCTGTGTTTTTGATTAACAAATTTTTTACGTTTGTTAAAATTAGACTAAGATAGTGCACCCCAGCCTACATAGATGCACAAGTATAGCACAAAGTTCTAATATTACCTCTTCTCTAACTAAGCTATAAGAGGCACCACAGGAATTCACGAAACGGTAGTCCGACACCGATATCAGTTGGAAATGCAGGAAAAATAGATTAACCGATCTTATAGTAAAGACATAGAATAAGCAAACCCACTGTTCTAAGAAAATAGCACCATCGAAAACAATGCGTATTTTCGAACAGTGCCTCTACCATGAGTTGCCATCGAAAACTTGTATTCGTATACTACAGTCGATAGAGTTTAAACGTGGATCGATGAAGTTTGCATTAAAATCATACCATGAGTTCAATTACCGTATACTTTACTCGCTAGCGATAATTCGATGGTTTTTTGATGTCATGTTGGTGAGCATGTTAACGTATCCAACTTCACACTCTATGAATGGATGAATGAAAGAACGAATGCCGCTCCTTTCTAACTATATAGAAAAGATAGAGTAGGAAATAACAAAAATGTCAAAAATAACACTGCAAAATTTAAGTGTCCTAGAACAGTGCTTAAAGCTGAATTAACATAATGATTTTAAATTTGTATTGTTTATTTCTTGTCATTGCGACTTTGACGCAGCTGTTGTCATGACAACAGATAATAAAACATGTTTTGTTGAAGGATTATTGATGATTAATTTTCCACAAAAAATGGATTTTAACCACGATAGGAAAATGAGAACCTGCGCCTATCCGTTTAAACCGATTGTAGAATTTATGGAAAGGTAAGTTAAGTAAAAATAAACATACTATGTGGTGGAGGAATTTCGATATTAAACGAATAATTTTGAGCTGGTTTTTTTGGAGAAATACAACCTTTCCAGCATAACTTCCACGTGCCTAGCTAAAATTCAGTAATATGAGTGCTAGCCCTTTACACACGAGAATAAAAAAGTGTCAATATTTTAATAAAACTTTACTTAGGGGTTATTTTAGAGTTTAAATAAGATTAGAAAAATACGTTAAAAATTTTTGAATTTTCAGTTTTCCTGAAAGTATGCCCTCACGATAGTGAGGCTTCGGTATTATTTGTTAGTCTCACGATAGTGAGTGTTATACTATTTAGTTAATTTATTTATAGAAAACTACTAATTTATGAGCACATAAGTATTCATTTGGTAAGAGACCCCTATAAGTAAAGAGTAAGCTATAATTTAACAAGCAATTAAACCTCTTTTAGCAAATTGTCTTAAAAAAACGAATTAATTAAAAAATATCCACATTTTGACAAACTTGCAAAGTAAAAACCTTTATTAGTTTGGTTGGTACCAATATGAGGTCCGAGATGATTATTAAGAGATTGTAAAATAGAACAAAATTACTTCTTAATTAATAATAAAGAAATAAATGTCATTTTTATGGCTTAAGATNCTTGATTCGTTTTATTTACAAAGAGTTTACAATATGTCACGTCTACAGAGAAAACGACATTAAAAATAAAACAGACTCCAAAAAAGGTCTCTAAAAATAGAAAAATAATTTACGTTATTTTATTTAATTAAGACAATCTTAATGACTATGATTGATTTTCTCGTAGTCGGTGCCAGTCTGCCAAATGCCAAGCTCAAGAAACGTACTTTTACAATTGAGAACCTCCTCCTTTTGTTGATGTCTGTTAAAAAAATAGGTACACATTAATCTACAGTCCTCTCAACTTAAGCTGAGAATTGCATTTGTGTGAGTGCACACCGATAGTGTAGAGTGGCAATCGGCTTGAAGCGCGGCGCGCGTCCCGCGCATGGTTTAAACCGGTTTATTTATAGCAAGCGGCCTGAAGCGCGGCGCGTCCGCAACGCACCGCTTCCTTGCCGCTCACATACTTCACTTCACCGCCGGTACTGGTAGCAGATACGTGTAATTTTATGTAATTGTGTTCCAAATATTAGTGAAATGGCTCCTACTGTAAGTGAATTTCCTGTACGAAATCCATTAAGCAGCTAAGTGAAAGAAATTTTATGCAAATTGAATACGTATTTTGAAGGTGTGAACAAAAAGTTTTTAGTCTGTTTTTATTTTGTAATTTTATAAAGTTTGTCTTTTTGTTGTATTTTGTAAGGCTGGCTGGACGCCCTCTCTATAAACGGTGCTCGCAGAATATCAGCGTCGAGGTACTTCGCGCCTTGGCATAAAATATGCTGAGCGAGGACCTGTTTTTATTTATTTATTTATTTAAAAGGATGTGTCAAGTGTCGTTACAACGGCCCAATTGGTAGCAAGTGTTTTAAAGACTTCCTTTTAATAAAACATTAATTTTATTTGTATGTGTTTTACTAACGGTACTTTTGGCGATCACTCACACAAATGCAATTCTCAGCTTAAGTTGATAGGACTGTATCCGCAGACGAAACGAAAAGATCAGTACATAAAAACCAGGCTTGAAACATATTTTTAGTATAAGGAGCCGGTGGTTACCTTCAGCGCGGCCGATGACCATTGGCTCACTCGCGTGCACGTCGCAGTTGTCGCCGACGAAGTGGCGGTGGCAGGCGCAGCCGATGACGGGGTCGCACACCCAGTTGCCCGTCGCCGAGCAGTTGCACGCTTCCATGCAGTGGTCGCCGAAGTAGCCCTCGGGGCAGACTGGGGGAAATTATAAAGAACTAAAGCATCAGTCATAAAGCAGCGGTAGAAGTTAACGGATATCAGGTATCATGAGGTGTTCCAAGCATCTAGTTAACTGAATTCTTAGGTTTAAATAAAATACAGGCCGAATCGAATGAGGGCTATCGTTTTTATACTTAACAGTTGGCACCCCTGGCGATTGGCAGGACCTTACTCTACAGTGGCGCCATCTTGATGAGTGCAAATGCGATAGTCCTCCTACCACTTTCGCGCTCACCAGTTGGTGCCACTGTCTTCGCTACTAGCAAGTGACAGGACCTTACTCTACAGTGGCGCTAACTGGTGAGCGCTAAAACGATAGCCCTCATTGCAGTAGGTAGGTGATTTGTGGCCAATGGGCCGCGGCTCAAGGCTGATAACTGAATAATGACAGATGTCTACTGAACCACAGAATTTAGCGCGTTAATATCCGGATATTTGTAATTGAAAATAAGCGCCAGTTAACCTGTTTGGCCAGCGTGGGAAGCATTGGCCAAATCCTCCCTTTGGCCTTCGTTAAATTTAGAGAGGGTCATCCTCCTACAACAAACACTATGGCCTGTGTGCTTAGTGCGAGTTTGCCTTGAACGGTCGTCGCTAGCGAGTGCGTCAAAATCTAGGAAGATTTTAGCTCTTAAAAGTATCCGTTTTCGGGTTGCACCATCTTACTTTGACAAACGTCAAAAATTCAGCGTCAACTCAGCCCTTCATCTTTTCGTGTCGACAACAAACCTACAGTGTCAGCCCAAAACTCCGCCACAAGAGTGGCGTTGTCAGCAGCACTCGTGAGTGCAGTTGCTTGGGCACTCAGGGCATCAGGTGCTTCATCGACTGGGGAACTCAGCCCTAATGTCATTATTTTACGCAGTCGCTAGCGAGAACGTTAGATGTAGACTCGCTAAGCCCCCTGTGTGCCTACCATGAGTTTACGTTAGGTGTGCTCGCTAGCGACTGCGTAAAAAAATGACATTTAAATGTATGACATATTGTGCAGCGCCCCTAGCGGCTACTTTCAAGAAATAAAATCTTCATAGAATTTTTTGACGTATTCGCTAGCGAGCTCACCTAACGTATACTCATGGTAGGCACACTGATGATAAGTTATTAAGCTGTGTACTCACACTGCGTGCAGTAATCGCCGGTGTAGCCGGGCGGGCAGCGGCAGTTGCCGTCGGTGGCGCGGCAGGCGGCGCCGCGCGCGCAGCGGCAGGGCTGCGAGCACCCCGTGCCCCACCAGCCCGGCCCGCAGCCCACGTCGCAGCGGGCCCCGCGCCAGCCCGGCAGGCATTGGCACACCCCTGCGAGAAAAACATTGATTACAATAACCCTGTTAAAGCCTCGTCTCTGAGCACGTAGAATTTTGTCCATTGACCCCAAGCTACCCATCCTTATCATCATCATCATCATCATTTCAGCCACAGGACGTCCACTGCTGAACATAGGCCTCCCCCAATGCTTTCCATGTTGATCGATTGGTAGCGGCCTGCGTCCAGCGCTTCCCTGCTACCTTTACGATGTCGTCGGTCCACCTTGTAGGTGGACGTCCCACGCTGCGTTTTGCGGTATGCGGCCTCCATTCCAGAACCTTTCTGACCCATCGGCCGTCAGTTCTGCGTACTATGTGCCCTGCCCATTGCCACTTCAGCTTGCTAATACGTCGGGCTATGTCAGCGACTTTGGTTCGTTTACGGATCTCCTCATTTCTGATTCGATCTCGCAAAGAAACACCAAGCATAGCCCTCTCCATAGCACGCTGTATAACCAATGTGTGTTACCAGTGATAACTTATGGCTCGGAAACGTGGCCTCTCACTATACTTACGCCTCTCACTTGCTGTTGCGCTCGCACACTCACTGCGGGCGCCCGTCGCACAGTCGCGACAGGAATATAATTACGCGCGAGCGATAAGGATGGGTAGCTTGGGGTCAATGGACAAAATTCTACGTGCTCAGCGTCCAGCAGACTATAGAAAGTAAGACAGAAAAAACATCACTTAGTTAATGGCAAAGAAGGTATACGGAAAAAAAGTCAGAAATAGCACATAAATATTACAAGGAAATAAAAAGTAAACTGAACAATGCCACCCTGTCGTAACGGCTTTGCAATGCCCATTGCAATGTTCTCACTTGTACAAACGACATCACATCAACACTGGAATCAGCCCGGCAGGCATTAGCACAGCCCTATAAATATTGGCATTAGAATAACCCTGTTTGTACAGACGACAGCACATCAAGATCCAGCCCGGCAGGCATTGGCACAGCCCTACAAATATTGGCATTAGAATAACCCTGTTTGTACAGACGACAGCACATCAAGACCCAGCCCGGTAGGCATTGGCACACCCCTGCATTGAAAACAATTGCATTACAAAAATCCTGCTTCTACTCTCACTACTTCTACTATCTCGATTATCACTCTGCACCGCGCTCCATCGCATAGGTCGCGTAATGAGAATTGAAGCTATTAAAAATTGTATACAGCAACCATGTTGCGTAGTCGTACTGACAATAAAATTAGTGCTTTTCGGTGTGAGTACGTATTCGCCTAAAAAAGTGCGATTATGGTATAAACAACTCGAGCGCAAAGCTCTTTGTTGAACTGAACTTGACAGTGCATGTAATAGCGCCAATTTATCTGTGTATATCTTGTTTGTAGGTAGATGTTAATTAATTACGAATCAAAAAACCAATAAAGAGATTACTGACCAGTAACATGATGACAATCAGCGCCGTTCTTGCAGTTGCATTTTCCTTCGCAGTTGACTCCGTACGTTCCGAGTGGACACGGGTACTCACAAGTGACCCCCGTGTAACCACTTGGACACGTGTAGAAGCCTGTCACGGGATCGCAAGTTGTGTTACCTGTAGTTGAAAGAAATACGGTAACAGTATTGCTTTGTTTCATAAACCTCAAAAGGAGTTGACACAACAGCTAGCCATTGTTGCGGCGATAAGCATGTTTGCTCAAACTTATATCACTTACGCACTTTGAACGGAAACAAATAAGAACATTTATCGCATTGTTTAATTCGAGCATTACTGCAATGGCAATGTGCTGCAATAGAAATAGCATTATTTTATCTGTGGTTTTGACAGTATGTGTTTGTTCTATACTGATAGGACAATGCGAGACTTTAGTGTGATCGAATATTATAATTAATTTCGTGAACGCATTGGTAAATCCAACTTCGCACCACAATGAAGATTGCGTGACCACATAAAGCATGGAATATTTATAATTTTAATAATAAAATAATTTTGTAATACTCATAATTATATTATGTATTTGCGTTAAAATGTCATAATGATTTATTGATCGTTAAAGAAAAACTTTTAGTGGCTCGTGTTTTAATGTTTCCCTACTTATACACACACAGTATATCAAAGCTTAATCTCTTCCGTTTCGGGAAGTATAGCCCGTTTTAACAATTCTGCCGCACAATTTATAAACGCAGTAAGTAACACGTGAACAGTTTCGAGAAAAACGCGATCAAAGTTGAAATTTTATTTTGGGGTGTCTACAATTAGTTACGCAAATATTTGTAAAAAAAAATTATATGGGCTTATAGAGCTAAACTCAAAGTTTATTTTGATATGAGGTTTTTGTATTTTAATTAATATTTTGTATTTAAAATTATTAAAAAACTGTTTATGTTATGGATTAACTAAGTTTTCGTTCGATACTTACTACCCATGAATGCAGTATGATTGTTCCTTACTGCGTTTATCAGTAGTTTTCGTTACTTACGGTACATGTGTTAAATGATTGATTTAAATTTTAGTTCTTACAACGTAATATATGCGCCGTATCTTTACAACTTACTGCATTTATGAGTGGGAGTGTGAATCAAAATAATTTATCAAAACTTTAAATGCGCAGTAATAATACAATTATACTGCGCTTATCATAAGCCAATAACGCTTTCATGTTGAACTTTCCCAAATGACCAAGGGGTAAATGAAACAAGTATTACAAAATAATTGCTGAGATCGCTTGTTATTCAATCAAAAATTAAGATATGGCACCCACTTTTAGATCTTAAATATACCAATCTAATAAAATAAAGACTCGGTCGTTCGTTTCAGCCGAAAGACGTCCACTGCTGGACAACGGTCTCCCCCAAGGATTTCCACAAAGACCGGTCCTGTGCCGCTCGCATACAGGCACCTGACGCGACCTTCACCAGATCATCGGTCCACCTAGTCATGTTAACACCTAGGCAGCACTCTGACAATCCTTAGTATGTACGCAGTATAATTGTAATTACTGCATTAATATTAAGTACAAGTCATCTGTTTTTCCTATGGAAACATAATATCAGTGTGTGTTTAAGTGGAATTACTGCACATATACTATGTGCAAGGTGAACTTAACAATTGTAGAAACATAATAAGAATGATGTAATAGGCACATACTGCACTATTACTGTGTAGCAAATTAAGTAAGCGCGAGTATTCACGTAATATTAAGTTATTATGTGCTCTTACTGCTAACATAGTATGTGAAGAAACCTACAATCTGCTCTTTACTGCGTTTATGATAACATGTATCTTCCGTTCTAAGATAGATAGAAAAAAACGGGTCTTTGATTCTTATAGATCGCGATGTCAGGATTCAGAATATTCAAAACAATCATAAATGCAGTAAGTGGTACTTACTGCGTTTATAAATTGTGCGGCAGAATTAATCCCTAATTTTTAAGTGACCCCTTATGGTAACACATAACATGAATTCTGTTTTCATAGGGGTCACTTAAAAACGGGTATAAAACACTTACAACGGCCGACACTTACCGAGGTAGTTATTAGGGCAGCGCTGTGAGCATCCCGCGCCGTAAGTACCAGGAGGGCAGGGCTGGCTGCAGTTGCTTCCAGTCCAGCCGGCGGCGCACATGCATTGCCCGACCGAGTCACACGACGAGTTGTTCAAGCACTGGCACCGCTCGGAACACTGCTCGCCGTAGTACCCTTCAGGACATTGGGTCTCGCACCTTACGCCTACAATAAAATCAGATACCCCATTCTAAATAGGTACACATAAAAAAGAAGTGATTGTTAGTGTATTAAGTTTTAGAATTATTTAGTTTTTAGGTGAAAGGTGATTCAACCTACTCTTTAAATAAGCTTCCATGCCATTTAACAAAACTATTTATCATGTATTTGAGAAATATAAGAATCCCAACTTCCCAACTAATATTATAAATGCGAAAGTAACTCTGTCTGTCTGTCTGTCTGTCTGTTACGCTTTCCCGCTTAAACCTCGCAACCGATTTTGATGAAATTTGGCATAGAGATAGTTTGAGTCCCGGGAAAGAACATAGGATAGTTTTTATCCCGGTTTTTGAAACAGGGACGCGCGCGATAAAGTTTTTCTGTGACAGACAAAAATCCACGCGGGCGAAGCCGCGGGCGGAAAGCTAGTAAATTAATAAACGGGTCTTGTGTCAAATAAACATTTATCTTGTTTCAATTAGCGTGTCTCCACGACACGAATTATTATTTCGAGATTAGCAAAAAATATAGGTAAGTAGGTTATTATTTCGGCTCAGAAAATTGACCGATTTGTAAATGTCAAACATTAGTTATTATCATCAAAGATCTAGTTTAATAATCTAAGTATATCTAATCTACATTAAATGATATACTTTGAATGGAAAACAAAATAAGCTTATGTTTGCAACACAAATAGGATCATTATAGTCAGTCAGACATTTTGCTATAAACGCCTGATCTCCCTATGCCTATTTCTATAATACGGTTCGTACAAGAACCAATACTATGCATTCCTAATAAAGTCAACAGGAATTTTATAGTACTTTATTAAGTTTTATTAAAACTGTCATTGAAAATTCACTTGCAATGAAATATAGATAATTTTGATCTAAGAAATATTAAAACTAATAAGGATACTACTAGGTGTTAACAAGTAACTACAAGAAGATTTAATGAACTAACTCAGTGAAATAATATAGTATTTTTATTGGGAAATTTAACTTTACACTACACCCACAAATAAGTTATTCACATAAACTCTACCATTCTCAAGAGACACTTCCCAAATAGAACTGGTTCCGGCTGAAGAGTCTACGGCAGCGACAATAGCTCTTGTTTTGAATCTGTTAACTTTTTCAAAACTTTCAATTGCCTTAAACAACATTGCGTCTGAATCGGAACGTTCAATATTTTGTGTCCAAGAAATACACTGATTTATTAACACATGATTTGTGGTGTCATTTTTCCATTCAGATATAGTACTAGTTGTAGTTTCTTCTGAGATTTTATTTTTAGGGTTCCGTAAAGACATAATATTACTTTCTCTTCTACCAGTAGAATGATTAGTGGTGCTTCCTTTTCCATCGTGGTTTGGATAAATAGCCGCTGTATTAGAGACGCCACACACAGTGTCGAACAATACGAGGTTTCCCAATACATCTGTTATTAAAACACAACACAACTTAATACAGTGCTACAGTACTTTTGAATACGTACCAAGTTTCCTAGGCAGACCTAGACCAAGAAAGGATGGTTAATTGTATTCAACAACAGCAACTATTTTTGAGAAATTGAAACATTAAGCGTCACTGTCAACGGCAGCGTAGGGTAGACGTGTACGCGTACTTGTACGCTGGCATATTATAATATCGCGTACGCAACGCTGCCACTCCGTCGGCAGTCACATTGTTTTGTATGTAAGTAGCAAACAGGCGTACACAAAGCGCACAAATACGCGTAAGTACACCAAGCGCACAAATACGCGTACGCTAGACGCGTACGACACCGTCGACTAGCAATTCATAAATATTTTGGTTAAACAGCTTGAGGAATATTAAATAAATTGCCTTTTACTATCTTATCTTAATCAAGGAAATTAGAAAACCATTTAAAACCAAATTATACGGTACTTGTGGGCGATTAATAATCGAATGATAATAATAAAAATTCACATATTTTCTGTTTCTTAAACAGCGTTTAGAGTGATAAAACTCACACACACCTCCCCAGCTAGCCTCGCATATACATTGTCCTGTGACGTGGTCGCAGCCCTTGGAGTTTGAGGAACAGTTGCAGGCGTGGAGACAGCCCTGGCCGAAGAAGCCGGCCGGGCAGCGCCGCTCGCAGCGCGCGCCCTGGTAGCCCGCGCCACACACGCACTCGCCTTTATGACGTGAAGAATATGGGTTCAATTCAAAATTCAAATTCAAAACGTTTATTTGCCAAAAACACAGTAATACAGGGTGACAATATTAAATAGGATAATGTGTTTAGTCTGCTCGCAGACGTGCAAAAATTACAGGATTCAATAGTATTAATGTCAAATAATTAAGAAAATGTCAATGTAAAATTAAATTAATAGTATCAATGTCGCCAATTTAAACATTTGTTCAAAAGCCAGCAAGTCAATCTGCTTTTAAATATAGGGCCTTGGAGTACTTTAAGTTCTTCCGGTAGTAGATTATACATAACTATACTCGTGTTATATGCATTTATCCCAACTAATATTATAAATGCGAAAGTAACTCTGTCTGTCTGTCTGTCTGTCTGTTACGCTTTCCCGCTTAAACCTCGCAACCGATTTTGATGAAATTTGGCATAGAGATAGTTTGAGTCCCGGGAAAGAACATAGGATAGTTTTTATCCCGGTTTTTGAAACAGGGACGCGCGCGATAAAGTTTTTCTGTGACAGACAAAATTCCACGCGGGCGAAGCTGCGGGCGGAAAGCTAGTTTTATATATATCCTTGGGTTAGACTCGTATGGCTATCTAGTCTTCAAATAGACGATTTTGAACCTTACTATAACGTGCTATAACTAAGCTGTAGTACGACGCCCTTTTAGAAGTTATGAGATTTTTAAACCATTTTGAACGATCGATGAACCAGATCTGTTTGGTCTCATATCGAATATTTTTTGTAAAACAAAATAATCAAAGATTAGCTTAACTTTGAATTTAACGATCAATCGACTTCTGCCCGACTGAAGATTTATTTTATTTACCTGTTTAATAAAAATATAACAAAGAAATAAAATTATTATTGCCATTTATGTCTATTATTTACAGGGTAAGTGACTAATTGTATTGTTTCCATCCAACAGGAAAACAATTAATTTAAATCTAAATGATTGATCATTTATTTTACAGTAGTCATTGAAATATATCGTTATTACATGTATCATTAATTTTTATTACGTAGGTATTACAAACGTAAGTGATTTCTAAGTAGCGTGATATGCACTTGCGGAAAACCAAACATGATTCCTATATTTACTTACTGAAATCATGGCTCACAGTGACAATTTTATTCATTGATAAATAAATTGTTTTAGTATAATAATAAAATAATGATACCTATATGAAAAATTTGCAAATTTAATCTTACCGTTAATTGGATTGCATGGTGAATCATTTTCACAGTCACAAGGTTGAAGGCACTTCAAGCCAAACCTTTTTCCATCGCATGGACGGTCACATTTCAAACCGTCAAATCTGGAACAAAATGGAAATAGAAAAATAGAAAATCTACTAAACTGCAGGGAATAAGAGCGATATAGTCTTAACTAAAACACTGTTTAGGAGGGTAGCACGTCAGCGCAGTTGTCGCCGTACAGCGTTATCGATTTTAAACGATAAGCTCATACACTTGTCGTCATCGATATGAACAAAAGAAGCACTAACCCTGGCGTGTCATACGAGCAGCTAGCGTTGTTGTAACAGTAGCGATGCTTGTCTCGACAAAGATGTACTCCCAATAAAATCTTATTCTACATCGATTTTAGATGACAAATTTATTGGTTTATCGTCTAAAATCGACATAATAAGTCCTCAACACCCACTGGTGGTAACAAATGGAGTACTAACCCTGCCGTGCAATGCACTCGCCGGTGTCGTGCGAGCAGCTGGCGTTGTTGTGGCAGTCGCATGTATCAGCGCAGTTGTCGTATATCGGGTAGAGGTAGCGCAACGATATAATTTTATCGTCATTTTATCGATATTGACGATAAGCCAATAAATACATTTGTCATCTAAAATCTTCAAGTATAAACAAACAAATAAATCACTAACCCTGGCGTGCAAGTGCACTCGCCGGTGTCGTGCGAGCAGCTGGCGTTCTTGTGACAGTCGCATGTATCAGCGCAGTTGTCGTATATCGGGTAGAGGTAGCGCAACGATATAACTTTATCGGAACATTTTATCGATATTGACAATAAGCCAATTGTCATCTAAAATCTTTAAGTATAAATAAACAAATGAATCACTAACCCTGGCGTGCAAGTGCACTCGCCGGTGTCGTGCGAGCAGCTGGCGTTGTTGTGACAGTCGCATGTATCAGCGCAGTTGTCGTATATCGGGTAGAGGTAGCGCAACGATATAATTTTATCGGAACATTTTATCGATATTGACGATAAGCCAATACATTTGTCGTCTAAAATCTTTAAGCATAAATAAACAAACGAATCACTAACCCTGGCGTGCAAGTGCACTCGCCGGTGTCGTGCGAGCAGCTGGCGTTGTTGTGGCAGTCGCATGTATCAGCGCAGTTGTCGTATATCGGGTAGAGGTAGCTCAACGATATAACTTTATCGGAACATTTTATCGATATTGACGATAAGCCAATACATTTGTCATCTAAAATCTTTAAGCATAAATAAACAAATGAATCACTAACCCTGGCGTGCAAGTGCACTCGCCTGTGTCGTGCGAGCAGCTGGCGTTGTTGTGGCAGTCGCATGTATCAGCGTAGTTGTCGTATATCGGGTAGAGGTAGCGCAACGATATAATTTTATAGGAACATTTTATCGATATTGACGATAAGCCAATACATTTGTCGTCTAAAATCTTTAAGCATAAATAAACAAATGATCACTAACCCTGGCGTGCAAGTGCACTCGCCTGTGTCGTGCGAGCAGCTGGCGTTGTTGTGGCAGTCGCATGTATCAGCGCAGTTTTCGTATATCGGGTAGAGGTAGCGCAACGATATAACTTTATCGGAACATTTTATCGATATTGACGATAAGCCAATTGTCATCTAAAACCTTTAAGTATAAATAAACAAATAAATCACTTACCCTGGCGTGCAAGTGCACTCGCCGGTGTCGTGCGAGCAGCTGGCGTTGTTGTGGCAGTCGCATGTATCAGCGTAGTTGTCGTATATCGGGTAGAGGTAGCGCCACGATATAATTTTATCGGAACATTTTATCGATATTGACGATAAGCCAATACATTTGTCGTCTAAAATCTTTAAGCATAAATAAACAAATGATCACTAACCCTGGCGTGCAAGTGCACTCGCCTGTGTCGTGCGAGCAGCTGGCGTTGTTGTGGCAGTCACATGTATCAGCACAGTTGTCTCCGTACAGCGGGTAGGGACAGCGCTCCTCGCAGCGCAGGCCGCGGTAGCCCGGCGCACATAGGCAAGATCCTGTATGAATGCTTTACTCAGTAAGGTGTCTTATGAAGCGACTATAACTACACTTGCGGATTTTTTATGAATACGATGAAATTCTTTATTTATATCTAAACATATTTATTTAATTTGACATATGTCATACTTGCTGGCAACAACACACGTGTTGTTAATTAGAGATTAATTGAAAGCTATGCTACGAGTATAACATGTAAGAGCGGCCAAGGTGTTTAAAACTTCTAGGACGACACGATTTCGAGTTTGGAAAGCAACATGTTGTCTAAAATTTACAGAATGTTATGATAAGAAATAAATAAATAAAACATGTAGGTAGGTACAAAAAAAAAGATGTGATGCTAGATCGGCTGAAACTAGAGTCGATGCTGTTCTTTACATCGAAGAAGTTCCATTGACTTCAACCCTAGTCAACTTTGTTTTGCGGAGTAGGTATCACGATATAAACCTATTTATTGAAATGTTTAGCCACGAATACAGCTGAGAGCTGTTCTAACAAATCAGTGAGCCTTTTATGGAAAACATTCATGCGTCAGCGGGTCTAATGTTTGTAACAATTGTTACGCAAATAACCATATTTATGCCTATTGTGGGAATAGAAATCAATATTCATCTGAATACGCATTGTGGTTGGCGACGTAGTCACTGAACTCTTCCAGTTTATTATTTTATTAAAATACGTCAAAGCTATTACTTAAGTATTTAGGTACTATTCGTTCGCGTACTCCGTTCCCGGATAATCTATCTAAATCTAAAGGTGACTGACTAACTGACATAGTAATCTATCAACGCACAGCCCAAACCGGATTGGGCTAAAATTTGGTATGCAGTTAGATGTTATGACGTAGGCATCCGCTAAGAAAGGATTTTACGAAACTCCACCCGTAAGGGGGTAAAACGGGATCCACGCGTACGAAGTCGCGGGCGGCCGCTAGTCAGCATATAAGGCCTTATGGCATTAAATGCCATCCGGGCACTCAGCGATTAATACCGGGAGCAATCTATGGGAGTCGGGCTTGTTTTATTTGACACAAGTAAGGGTTGTCACCCGCAGAAATGTGGTCTATAATGATCACGTTACCGTTAACAGGTGAGCAGTGGGCGTCGTTCTCGCAGCGGCAAGTGCTTCGGCAGCCCTTGCCGTACGTTAGCAGCGGGCACTGGCGCGAGCACGCTTCGCCGCTCCATCCCGCTGCGCACTCGCACGCGCCGGTCCAAGGGTCACACCTGTACATTACCACGATGATTTGAACCTTATTCACTGAACATAAAGACGAACACTACATACTGCCACCATAATTTGAACCTTACCTATAGTCTGGTCTATGAGCACGTAGAATTTTGTACAATGACCCCAAGCTACCCATCCTTATCGCTCGCGCGTAATAATGTTCCTGTCGCGCTCGCACACTCACTGCGGGCGCTCGTCGCATAGTCGCGACAGCATTATAATTACGCGCGAGCGATAAGTATGGGTAGCTTGGGGTCATTGGACAAAATTCTAAGTGCTCACAGACCGGGCTTTAAAGGTATCATAAGGTTGATTTTATCAATGAAAGTTTTTAAAATGTTATGCCCTAAAGTGGATTAAATACTTGGTTGCACCATCTTACTTTAACTATAACACGTCACAAATCTGTCAAACTCCATACAAAAAACACCGGTTATCGTTATATTTACGGTTAAAGTTAGGTGGTGCAACTCAGCCTTAGTTTGTTACTCTTACCTATTGCTTGTGACATCTTTATTAACAAGAATAAAATTTATCAAATCCTTATCTTCATAATTATAATATGTATTATAAAATATACTCTGACCCTTCCGTCAGAGAAAAGCAAGAAATGTATAAAACTCATAAAAGTAGTGTACGTTTATTCCTTAAGTTTTTGTCATGTTTTCCCTAAAGTGTAGGTATTGAATAAATACAAGGACACAATACACAAAGTAATTGTTTGCTATGGAAAAATGCAATTTAAAAGTGTATTAAGTTTCACTGGTGAATTTAATGTGTCATGAATAATTAGCACTGGTAAATTATGTGTTTATTTTCCCGCATTTTTTACCTTTTGTCATTCGAGTTTATAACAGACATAAATTCGGCTGTTTCAGTTGGTATTCGATGAGTTTCGCCAGCCACTCAATTTGTACCAATTGGTATTACGAGTAAACAGAATTGAAACGCAATTGATATAAATTTGAAGAATCGTGTTTATCATTAGAATACGCAACACATACAGTATGTCAAACAAAAACCATCTCCGATCGGAGAAAACAGGCGAGATCAAATCTAAACTCCCTGTTACAGTTTTATTTCTATGGGGAGGTAAGGCTTTTATAGATTTAGATGTTTACATAGAGTTGGTGTTTTTAAGTACCAGAATAACATGGCCTCTTTTTAAATCAGACTGATTCTTTTTGAAAACTATAAAGATACTTTGATGCCCGTTTTCACCATAAACCCCTAATTTTTAAGTGACCGCTATGAAAACAAAAATCCTGTTATGTGTTACCTGGATTGGTTAAAACGGGAATTAATCATTTGTAAGTAGATTCACTTACATATCAGTGGTCTCCGGGTTGCACTCGCACTCTTTATCGCACCGTGCACCCCACTTGCCGTCCTCGCAAGCTCGCACTTGGCAGAATTCGCCCTTCCAGCCCGGTTTGCACGTGCACGACCCGTTGCGAGGGTTGCACTCGCCGCCATGTTGGCAGGAGCAGTTGCCCAAGCAGTCCACACCGTAGTGACCGAGCGGGCACACGTCACGACACTAGAAGGTTAAATTTACGTTCAAAAGGTTTTTATGCGTGCGAATGCATATACAGTAGAACGCCGATTAACCAAATCGCCAATTATCCGAATCGGTCCTAAGCGTAATATAAAATTTAAAACCAAGTAATTTTTGATTTTTTTGTTGGAATTCGGATATATTTCAACTGAGCGTTATTGTAGCAGTTCTACAATAACGCCAAGTAGAAATATATCTGTTTGTTAAACTAATTAAAGTTTATTCGATGTGTGACAGTTGGTTTTTCTCTATTACCAGTATATGTCCGATTATCCGAATTTACCCCGGTCCCAATTAATTCGTATAATCGGCGTTCTACTGTAGTACATAAAATAGAATTCAAATATTGACATTATAAATGATACTGATATAAGATAGAGAAAGGGGAAGAGAGGGTTTCCCTAGAGTTGCAGTACAGATGTGGCATTTTACTGAGCCCTCGCGCGGACTTCTTGAGAGAAAAGCAAGTGCTGTTGCACTGTATTGTTTCATTTACCTACACTGATGCAAGATTCGCGAACTTAATTAGATAATAATCTACCAAACATGTTACACATTAATAGACGGCTAATGAAAATATTTTGCTGAACATGACGACACTTCCTTCACGGCACTAAAAGGTCAAGTTTACATTCCAATAGGTTATCTTTTAGGTATGTTTTAAGCAAAAAGAAAACGTAGCAACTTTATTTGCAGTAACTGAAAAATTTCGACAAACACCCGCGACTTTTGAAGAAGGAGAAAATGCCAATATGTCAGAGAGGGAAAGAAACAACGCCTTGTGGTTCCAGGTGGTGGTTCAGTAACTACTTGCATTACAACAATATTGCAAAAACATCGATAGCCAAATCTCGGTTTTGTACTCTGCTGCAATACCCCCTGTTTGTATCGCAGTCTTATAGATGCTTAATGCTTTGTCAAATTTACATTTCCAGTTGCTGAAACAGCAACTCGCTTGTCTACATTGCGCCTAAGAAACATTTGTGTTATCAGGTTAAGTCAGCGGCCGTTTTAAATCCAAGAATTGCGAGAAACTAAGAGTAGGCGCACACCGTTGATTTTTCGTCGGCCGATAGTTTAGTCGGGCAGTTGATCAGTATGGGAGTGCGCACACTACGCCGATTCGATTTGGCCGATTCTTCATACAAATTAAAATCGGGCACAACTATCGGCCAACTAAAAATCAACGGTGTGCGCCTACTCTAAAAATCAACGAGCAATGCAAAATCAAGGAAATAAAAAATACATTTTCATACAACATAGATTTTCCTCCATAAAAACTGCTTAAATATTCGCGGTCGAGTTGCATGACTGTGGCATTGAAGATAAGAAAAAATAGTCACTAGATGTAGCAACAACGATCGGTCTGCGCGCTATTTATCTGCCTACGTCCTACGCAATGTTCTCAATGAGGACAAATATTTCATAGAACCGCGGACAACTGCATTGATCTTTGAATTTAAAATCTCATAACTGATTATGCAGTGCCAAATTAATTACGATGATAAAAAGAAAATGTAAAATAAAAAAAGATAATCTTTCGGTTTCGCATTGGCAAACGCCAGTCAAAGGAGAATATTTTAAGTTACATCAATAACACAAATATCCCAACACCAAAATAAGTAGTAGACTCAAAACTAATATAAAAAATAATAATAAAAATTAAGAAAAGAGTATTTAGTAGTGTTTGTGGCGTACTTTTTCCCCGGTGTACCCGGCTTCGCACTGGCACACGCCAGTCACGTGGTGGCAGCCCGCACCATTGGCACATTCGCACGTCCGCTCGCACTTCTCGCCCCATCTTCCCGTTGGGCATCTGAAATAGATAACCAAAACGTAATTCTAACTAACCCGTTTCATTAATAAGAAACTCAAACAGAAAATTACTTAGGTGTATTTTATCAGGTTATTTTAAATTTCAATTAACAAATTGTTTTATTAGAAGCTAAATTAAGAAAGCATGCTTATTTACATTACAACTAATATTATAAATGCGAAAGTAACTCTGTCTGTCTGTCTGTCTGTCTGTCTGTCTGTCTGTCTGTCTGTCTGTCTGTCTGTCTGTCTGTCTGTCTGTTACGCTTTCCCGCTTAAACCTCGCAGCCGATTTTAATGAAATTTGGCATAGAGATAGTTTGAGTCCCGGGAAAGAACATAGGATAGTTTTTATCCCGGTTTTTGAAACAGGGACGCGCGCGATAAAGTTTTTCTGTGACAGACAAAATTCCACGCGGGCGAAGCCGCGGGCGGAAAGCTAGTAATAGATAACTCTAATTGTGTAGTATGTAATTAATATAATGTAATAATTAGTTTGATACACTATTATCATAGGTTACGTTGTACTATTGGCTCTGGGCTATTCAATAATCCCAACTAATATTATAAATGCGAAAGTAACTCTGTCTGTCTGTCTGTCTGTCTGTCTGTCTGTCTGTTACGCTTTCCCGCTTAAACCTCGCAACCGATTTTAATGAAATTTGGCATAGAGATAGTTTGAGTCCCGGGAAAGAACATAGGATAGTTTTTATCCCGGTTTTTGAAACAGGGACGCGCGCGATAAAGTTTTTCTGTGACAGACAAAATTCAACGCGGGCGAAGCCGCGGGCGGAAAGCTAGTAACAAATAATTCCGCTGTTCTCAAGCATTAACTGTCTCTCTAATGACCTATTGTGACAGTATTGGCGTATGTGCAATGTCCATGAGTGATAGATAATGTTGTAAACATGTTTTAAAACGATAAGATGATAATTAATCATAAACAGTTATTATTTGATAAATATCTGTTACTTGCAAGATTAAAAATTATATAATTTAAACGACCGAGTACAAAGAGAAATGATACCAATAACTTTAGTTATAATTTTATTAATATTGACTTTACGGATTGTGGCGGTAATGGCGGTTCGTTTATATCGCGATCGTGCCATTGTTGAATAATGACAATGAGTGTATCGTATGTTACTTGTTTTGCTTACTTGTTGGCGCAAACTTCCCCGGTCCAACCGGGAGTGCAGTCGCACTCGCCCGTGAAAAGTTCGCAGGTTCCTTTGTTCTGGCAGCGACAGCCCTGGGGGCAGGGGTCACTGCCTGGGCAATGCTGTTCACATCTACGAAACGATAACAAACCATTAGTACATCGTGTCGAACGTGATTGACTGGGCAAGGGCTTGTACAAAACAAAAATAATGTTCAAGTCTTCTCAAATAGGTACTGTCTGTACATGAAATGCAATGACAATGAATATTAGTTTGCTGATACACATGGTACCTATTTGATTAATTTACAGTGACATGTTTAGGAAGCTACCACTTTAACAATCAACTAAATGTTTAATGTGTAGCTATTGTTAAATTGTGTATTTTGCAATCGCATGTAAATATTACAATATTATAATAACTTAATACTGTCTTAATTGTGTATCGAACTGTAGTGCATGTAGGCTATAAACTAACGCCCGATTCCCATATTGGAAAGCAGGTAGGAGACCAAAGTACCTACAGTAGATTAAGATCTGAAGATTGCTAAAATATTGGGATAGAAGATCAAATATGGGAATCGGGCGTAAAAGGTATGGTATGGATTGTGTAATATAATTTACAGTCTTGTAATTATAAGTATGCAAGAGTTGGAGTGGACAAGAATTACTTAATAATTAATTAATTTCCAATCATATGTAGGAAAAAACAGTGTACATAGTATGGCACACTTACAGCGGTCCTGTAAAACCTGGCAAGCAGGTGCAAGCCCCAGTGGCAGGGTTACACGTAGCATTGTTTTGGCACTGGCACTTCTGGTCGCAGTTGTCGCCAAAAGTGGGCGGGGCGCACGCACGCTCGCACGAGCGCCCGCGCCAGCCCGGGGCGCACGCGCATTCGCCCGTCAGCGGCTCGCAGGTACCCCCGTTCAGGCAGTGGCATGAGTTCTGGCAGTTACGACCCCATTTGCCTTCGGGGCAGGCTAAAAACGAAATTGCGTCAATAACCTTGCGTTAATATTAGGTCAAAGTGTGGTAGTCTGGCATTACAAGCTTCCTAAACCAAATGACAATCATTATCGTATGTCAACTGAAAAGAGCTTGTCATATTAAAGTTCTGTAACATAAAAACATCAACCACTTTTTGCTTTTAAATGAATCTTCAACAACTTTCACTTTGCAGACACCCTCCCGGAGTAACTCATTCAATTGTCGTACGGATATCGTTTAAGTAGAATTAAGGATCTTGTCTGATCAAAAAATACGGCACACATGGCTTGCAAATTGTTGTATCAGACTGAAGTAGCAATAATAATTGTAGTGTGGTATTTCCGTCGCATACTTTTTCTAACTTGGTTTCATAACCTAATTCTATTTTTATGTATATCCCCCGCTTTGCAACCATCTGCAAATGATAGCCTAATGTCTACCATTGATATCTCCCGCCGTCTGAAATCAGTTACAGCTTCGATTCCCCTGCGTATCAAGTACAAGTTGAATCTATAAATAAACACAGCTACTTTTAATGATATTAGCAGTTAAAATACAAGCGGAATACTGACATATATCACAGGCCGGGCCCCCATATCCGTGCTCGCACGCACACGTATTCGGCGCCACACATTTGCCGTGCTCGCACTTCTCTATGCACACCGGCACGCACTGGACTCCATGCTTATCAGGTGCGTAGCCTGAGCAGCACTCTTGCACTGGCCTGTACTTGGGCAGCGTCTCGGTCTTGAATATTTGACGAAACTTAATTGTATACTTCGAACATCGCGGCGGAATGTTCAAACACCACGCGTACTCCTTTACTTGGTAGGGTTGATTCTCTGATACACGTATTGTCGTTGTGTACCTAAAAACAAACTTGACTTTTACTTGAACTCAGATAAAAATAAAGAAGTTTTCTACAATGAATCACTTCGAATAGATTGACGTCACACCAGCATATTGCGCACATTTTTATCAAGTTTGTGCCAAAGAACATTTAACCAACTCGATCGACCTTTAAACCATACCTACATCTTACTTATTGGTAACATTTATCAAAATTGCAATTTTATAAAAAGTTCCAGACAGAACAAAGACAATGCAGAAAGGGAAGTTCGATAAAAGTTAACTGACCCATTGAACAACGAGCCTGATCAGCAGTAATCAGTCACCCCAGCAATCGTTCAAAAGGCAAATACACAGTAGGTTCATAAAGTAAGTACCCATATTGCTTACTGGACCATATAGATACACCTACTGATTAAGTGATGCAGAACAATGAAACACAATGTCACTGCCAACCATGTAAATAAAAGGATAGGCACAGTCACAGAACAAACTTTACGTTTGTAACATCTTGAAATACGCGGAAGTCCTTATCTTTAACTCAATGGCGAGTATAATGAATTTCTCTTAGTGCATTGTTAAAGTAATTCGGATAAGCGTGAACGATGACCAAGAATTCCGACGTGACTAGTTATAAACATTATTTATCTCTTAATACAAACAATTATCACACGCAATGTTATTTGAGATGGACTAATTTATAGTTAGGAGTTCTTCTTGTTAGTAATAAATACTGCAGTAAGATGCTCTTAAGTGTTGTGTGCTCCAACAGTCGTTAAACTTGGTCCACCGTTTCATATTTTTATACTTTATTGACTGTTAAATATGTTCTTAGACTACTTAAATCTATTACAATAAAGACTTAGTTATTACCTGCCATTTATATCATCGAATTCTTACATGTTTTAGATACCTAATGCCCGTTTTTACCATCAATCCCTAATTTTAAAGCGACCCCTATGACAACAAAATTCCGCTTATGTGTTACCATAGGGGTCACTTAATTTAGGGATTGATGGTGAAAACGGGCATAAATCTATTTTATTATAATACTTACAGTTCCTGCCTGGTGCAGACATTTGGTCCTTCGAGGAGTGCGCTCGCCGTAGCCACCAGCAGCAAAACCGTCGCAATTTTTCGCCACATCTCGACTTTTGTTCACGCAATTCTGAACCGAGTCTCCATAACAAATCGTTTGTTTTGGCGCGATTACGTCACAATATGCATTCAAATTAGGTTCCTTGTTTGTTTCGTTGCTTACTGGGTACTGGCTAATGTTCCTGGTAATGTCTAGACGATATGTCTGCAAAGAACAAAGATATTAATTAGTTTATTGCGTTTCAGTTAAAGAGTAGGTAGGACATTATGTATTTTATCCATGTGATGAAAAGATGTATTGAATATTGATTCAGCATAATTTAGGATTAGAATTCTTGATATAAATTATTCGATCTGTGACGGATGCGCATTGCGCATCCTCTAAACATGATAATTTTATAAATTCAACAATGTGAAAGTTCCAAAGTAGGTGTGCTATTAGCAGCACAATTAGTGAGTATTTCATTTTATAATAAATACATAAAATATATTATCTAAAGTATGCTGAAAATACGGACCTTTCAGGGCAAATATACATGTTGGTGTTCAAGGAGTTGAGTACCAATTATTTCTGGTCTATTTAAACTGCTTCTGCACGCTTGCACAGACATCGAACTAGCTTTCTATTCTTACCTACTTTATCTATATTTCTTCTATTATAGTATTATTTATTTTTAGTCGCATCTACCTAATTTCCAGCTGGTTAGTCCTGCTTGACACTAAGTAAATAATCACTAGGTGCCTACGTTTTATGTAGAGGCACTAACTTACCTAAATTACTACATGCTCATTCACACAATAATTCAATGGGAATTATGGATTCGAAAAAAAAATCAACATCTGTTTACAAATTCACAACAGGCTACCGTGTCATATTCGTGCCAGGTTCGAGCTCGTTTGGCACTAAAAACGGTTCAATTTCAATGAAGGTCATTGGAAATGCCGTTACTTAGGTAGTGCCTTTACAGTTAGTCAAACAAATCATTGACAAACCTACGCTTTCATCGAAGCACAGAGGTCCATAAATCTAAAACAATATTTTTTGGACGATTTCTTGAGTCAAATTTTTATGGAGTAGGACCGACTAATTAGATGAGTAGGCTAAAATCTTGGTCCAGGGCTAATATGCGGCATATTAGCATATTATATACCTCAAATTTCTGAATAATGACATAGATTTGGACGATTAACAGTGGTTTAGATATTCGTCTAAGGACGTAGGTCGTAGACTCTATCAGGAAGACTACAGCAGTCTTGCTTTTACTACAAAATGTAATATCCATCAACGAGCCAGATGCCCTCAAAATTCGCGAATTCTTCTCAAATCCTTTATGGCGCCATTTATTAGTGCAAACATCGGAATTTGGCACTCTGACAATACGAATCTTAAATGGAAAATGATGTAAGAAATAGTCATTATGCCGCCCAAAATTTTTGGCGGGTAGTTAATTTTGTTGTTTACTTTTGGGCCAAAAGTAAACAACAAAATTAACTACAAACCACGTGTGTGCAAACAAAATCGTTTATAAGGTCGTTCGTAGGTGTATTAGGGCAATCGAGGTATTGGTATTATAAATGTACTTTAACAGTTTCGGACAGGCATTAGGCAGCATTTTGATATTATTATATTTAAATTTTATCAGTTTTTAAAATATGTATATGTACCTACGTCGACATGTAGCATAGAAGTAAAGACTCTACATAAGTAGTTAATCCATTTGCGCATATTTAGCACTATCCATCTATGTTGAGATAATCCTGAGAATCAAGAGGGACATAATACAGATAGTCTGTCTGTATAGAAACGATTAATTCTAGTTACACCACAGTATTCATTTACTCTTAATGGCATATTATTTGACCATCCTGTTTGTGTAGATCTGTCGGCGTTGGATCAGACAAAAATATTATAATTTACACATTTTACATAAACTAGCAATAATTATTCAAATGTTTACTATTACTATTACGCCCTTACTTATTATCAGTTTCCTGAAATGAACTTGAATTACGCTTTTGATAAACAAATAAGTCTGAACGCAGTCTGAATCATCATGACATGATTATTATGTAAGCAGGAATCATCCTCAGAAGACACTAATACCACCACCAACATGTCTCCCAATCCCAATCACAGTAAATCGAACCAGACTGGGCGCTGAGGAAGGTAAAGAGGGCAAGGAGGTGTGCTCCCGACATCTTGATTGACATTATATTTCTCTTGACGACAAAGTGTGCATTATGTCACTATGTAGGTATTCATGTAGGTAGTGACTAGTGGGGACACCTACTGCGAGCATGAATGCGTCAAATAAAACCGTCCTCTTGTAGGGATAGATAGGTTAATTCAAATTCTTTATTGTAAGTTTCTAAAATATTTTTGCAGGACTTTAACTGAAGCTTCGGGTTTGGTACGTCGCCGAGTGTACTGACTCAGTACTCTCAGTACATACTGACTGACTACGACGGTTCATTCTCGGAACCCGCAGTTAATCGTCTGGCTGGTGCTGACGACAATAACATGAGCATATGTCACACGCATATTATGCTGGCTTACAACGTGAAATACCAGGGCTGAGGCTGAGCATTGCAATAGAATAGAGATTACAAAGGAGCAGTCTCAGAAAAAAGTGAAAGTGACAACACCACGAGACACGATAAAAGTTGGCACAAACAAAATCGTATCTCTTGTTTCCGTATTTCTTTCGATCTTGTATGCGTATCCTATTAATTATGTAAGCATACAACACCGCAAATACACTAGGCACTTGTACGTTTGAACTGTCTAATAAATAGGTCAAATAGGTACTCCTCACAATTCAAGGATATGCCAAGCAATTATCACACTCATACATAAACGAAATGCAAGCGTTGTGAATATTGTCAAAACACCAGAAGCGTTAGTGCTGTGAAGACAAAACAATTGAGGTCGTTAGTTAAACAGGTCACTCTACCAACGTGTGGGCAAATATTCAAGCGCTCGAATCGCATTCGCGTGAAGAAAGTAGAGCGAAGTCTATACTACGCGCGCTTTAGCGCTTATTCATTAATAAATTACTTATAATACAAAGGGCTAGTTTTTTTTAGAGTCCCATAGATTTAACAAAAATCGTGTCAAACTGATTTCTACGCGGGCGTAAGTGCAGACTGAAACTATTAAGAGTTTTACTGGCTAACAAATTGTAATTAAACTTAAATCAACGAAATAAAATATTACCATAAAGTACACATAGTAGGTACACTATTGTTAAGACAAGAGTATCTTCAGAAAATGTGTTGAGCATCTGTTGGCTGAATGGCAAAGTAGGAAACAAAGATTACTCATAGCTTCTTGGTAAAAATTAGCAACTTTACATAGGTATTTTGTTACAATGTGTGTATGTACCTACCTACCAGGGGTTCAATCACCCAATTTAAATATTGTATTTTTACTTCATTAAAGCTGAAGCTGAAACTACTAGAATGTATTAAGTAAGTAAAGAAAATAAAATTAAAGATAGGTAAGTAGCAAGTAGGTAGGAACATTTTTGTATATGTTACGGTTAATGTGATAAATTGAAAATTAATAATAATAACCGGTTATTATGAATAATCACTGACAGTCGCGGTAAAAGTGATAAATAAATCACATTTAACAGTGATTATTTAATAATTATTATTGAAGCTTAGTACTAACAAATTTCATAAAAGAGAACAACATCTTGTGTACGTGCTCGTGTACAGCCAAACTTTTGAACGTTTTGATATCATATATTAATATAATTTGGCATAATGAGTTTGGAGTGTTTCTTGCATAATATTACTTTTCCATGATGCCTATAACATAATGTTTTAATTTAAAGTGAAAAATAGGTTAAGGTGCGGCGGGGGTGGCTCTTGGGCCACCCCTAAGCCGCCTACTTAGTTTTATACACACATAAATGACCTCATATTAATCACATTTACCAAATCTTGCGGTAATTATTCATAATAACCGGCGATTATTCATAATTTTCACATTTATCACCTTGACCGTAACATATATTCCATTTTCTTCCATAAACTTTGAATTTTTGACTAATTTCAATATAACATTACTACATGTACCTAATATATCATTAGAAAGAAGAGAAGCTAGAGATGTGTTAAGATCATTGGCAATCCATTATCACCATTCATTTTTTTTAAATCGTATTCTAAGTAGAATTTTTCATCTTGGTTTGTACTTTTGTTAAACTTTGGCGGCTCGTAACTAGCTATCCAATCATTATTTGGATATGAAATTTATTTGATTCGACTAAAAACATAATTCACGCGAAAAAAATTGAAGCAGTTTTTAGGTCAAATTTCGGAAAATAAATAAATGAAAACAAAAAAAGTAGCCCACTTAGGGTCAAATGGGCGAACTTGTATAATATTCTTAAAATGAACCTTCTGCCAAACACCCTGTATAAAAGAAGGTGACTAGAAGATAGGATTCATATCAAAATTTTCGTTGCAAAATCGCTCTATTCCTACTAGGTAGGTACTTGAGAAAAAACAGTATTTAGCTTATTGGGCTATCATTCATGACAACAGAAAAAATATTACTTGTCTAATCTTATCTCTGAGAGCATTGATTGGTATTTTAGCACACACAAGTCAATTAAATCGCTACCACTTAAATAAAAGATATTGTGAAAATGGTCTGATTAACTTCTTAGATTAATTGAAACCATTTCTTATCCAAGAATATTTTATAAACTTTTCTAGTCTCTTAAATTTTAAAACATCAAATTTAAAGTTAACTGACACTATGATGTCCCACCACTGTAATGTAGTAAATAAAGACATTTTGTATTTGTATCCTTATGCCCACAAAATGTGATGTCACAGTAGTTTCAGAGCCATAGAAGCAAAGTCATGACATTATACAGATAGCAACATGAAAGCTAAACAAAGAGTTACTTAGAATCACTTACACATACTTATACCTTAAACCGACAAAAAAAATGATTTAAAATTAACGAAAATAATAAGTAGGTATTAAGGTAGATAGCAGTGATGTGTTGTGTAGGTTTGAGACGTAAAAACCAATTCCAAAGTTGAAATTCTATTATGCCGCATGGCTTCTGAATAATTATCAAAAAGGTATTGAGGAGCAAAGCAATAAACGTATGCTTTGCTCCTCAATACCTTCTATAATAGTATGGAAATTTAAGATTTCCAGAAACAACAAGATTCAGTTGTTCTGTTTGTGTGTACACAGGGAGGGATATGATCGTTTAAATAATACTAAGCAGAAAGATATTTAAACTAAGTAGGCTATCTATACCTAGCTGGATATAATTCTTTGTACTTATTTTTTCGTATAAAATTTTGTATTATGCACTGTTAACATAATTAACAGCAATTAGTGCCTAATGATTATTGGCATTGCAATATCTTGCAACTTGCAGATAAGTACATTCTTATTTTTAAATTTTCTCAAGTTATTGGTTGCTTAATTCAAAGATTACAAATCAATTTGATTGTCTTGTCATCACCATCATCAACAGACCTTGAGTGACCCAGATAAAATTCATCGACATTTCAATCATTTTATTGTTTACTTGAGCAATATTATATCTGTAAGTGATCGTAGACAACAACAAACCAGTTTTGTAATTAAATAGGTAGTTAAATACGCTACCAGTTACACTTCTATAGAGTAACAGCTTGACAGTCATCAATTACATTTTGTTCAGTGCAACATACTGTGGAACTAAAATCTAACTCATAATACTTCTTCGAATACCTAGAATCTTTTGTTTCTTATTCGCTAGAAGTTAACACTGTCACTACATTTAATGAATCAGATTTACTTACTATTCCGCTGTGAAGCACTTTTATTTAACACTTCACTTTAGTCCACAATGTTAACGCTCATTAAACGCACAAGCAATTACTAATTATGAAAATAGTTCTTTTAAATTATTTTACGCATAAATTTAATAAAAACAAAAGCCAAACAGAATTACATCGTCACATCACCAAAACACAAGAGTGATTGATGAATGAATGAATTGCTGTGATGAATTGGATGGGTTAAAAAATCTGTGGTTAAATCAAAATTGAACCAAGACCAATAAACCAACAGGAAAGAGCTAATGAATGAATGACTCATTCATATAATAGAAGCCCATTGACGTTGTATACTATGGACGGGGCTATCGTTTTAGCGCTCACCAGTTGGCGCCATTGTAGAGTGAGGTCCTGTCACTTGCTAGTAGCGAAGACAGTGGCGCTGGCTGGTGAGCGCTAAAGTGATAGGAGGACCATCGCATTTGCACTCATTAAGATGGCGCCACTGTAGAGTAAGGTCCTGTCAATCGCCAGGGGTGCCAACTGTTAAGTATAAAAACGATAGCCCTCCCCGATTGCGCCAACTTTTGACGTCTCAAATTCATTGGCGCTTCTTCTGCAGTTGCGCTCCGTTTTTCATTCCAGCGAGGTGCAAATTCGGTATCACGGTAAAATTTATGCGCAAAACAGAGTCGAACGAAGCTGGGCGTAAAACGCACATCAAAATTAAGGACGATGTCGAACTTCAAGTGTTGGTTGCACTACTTTTGACTGAAAGTAATAACGTTTACTGTGTTTTAAAGAATTTTCTAATTTTACTCGAAGGAGCAGCTGCTTTCTGTTTACGTCTATGCGTCGTTTCAACTAACTGTCAAAAAAACGATATCGCGATACGGATTTGTCAAAACAACTGATGTTCGTTCGTCGTCCGGGCGTGTGGAAGATGTCAATTTTTAGCGCAATCGGGGCACTGTCCACTTTCATCCAGTCACGCTCCATTTTCATTCCAAATCCAGCTGAAGTGCAATACGGTATCGCGGTAAAGTTCACGCGCAAACAAAGACGAAACAACAGATTTATGTACTTTCCATTAAAAGTCCGAACACCTTATTTTTTAAATAAAATTACTAAATCACAGCAATTATTCCCACAGGAATTAGCGGGAAAATCCTTTTGTATGAAAAATCTAAACCGCTTAAGTAGACCTGAGCCCCGATTACGGTAATTTTTAACGTCAACAATCCAGACACGCTTCTCGATTCTGCGATACGATTGGTCGTTCAACAGCGTACGTCAGCTGTTTTGACCAATCGTATCGCAGAATCAGAAACGCGTCTGGATTGTAGACGTTATAAAAGTTACCGTAATCGGGGCTCTGAAGTGATGCAGTGACTGCGCGCTCTCCGCCCTCTATCACGAAAACGGTTCACCGTATAAAAAAAGTTTTTAAACAAAATTTGTAGAGAATTTAGTATTCTACAATATTGATAATAAATACAAATAGCAAAAAACCCACAGGAAATGAGATATTTCTAAAAAAAGCGCAAAAAACCGATTTTTGTGACCGTTGACCTTGAAATTTAATAGTTGGGTNGTAGAATAACGTCTACCGCTACATAATTATTTTAATCCACAGTCAGACTAACTATAAGTTTAACAAAATATCATTTTTATCGGAATTAATTAATTTTTGAATCGAGTCACACGATATCATTCGATGACTTTGCGAATGCAGTACGATGATACGATTACTTTTAAGTTGCGGCAATCACTAAAATTCGCTAAAATGACACTAATGACGTTTAAAAAGTGGCACGCTCGGCTTCATACAAATTTTGACACATGCTGCATCTATCCTTATCTGTGATTAGAGTAGATACAGCAAGTTGATCGTCAAAGCGTGCCATTCCGATATGTCCAAATGGACATACATGGTCGAGTGATGTTCATGTAATCCGATTACAACAATCGGTTACGATGATTTTACGAGAACAGTAGTACGAACACGGTAGAAAGAAGATATTATTTACGGATTGAGAATTGTAATTAACAGGCTAACAGCACAAGTAGCAAATAATTAATAAGAATAAAGTAGCAGTAGAAGAAGTATAAAGTAGCATTGTTCTTAATACATATCCTGCGATGTACTCTTAAGAGTTAAAACCATGGTCTCTGTATGTGGTGCACTCATACCGATCCCAAGGAACCGTACTTACTCATAACAATAAGACACACACTGATCCTTGTATTCATGCACTTGACAAATGGCAATGCCAGATTTTGTATGGAAAGTGGCGTCTTTTTTTTTTCGAGCGGCCATCGACCAAACTTTGTTTTTTGATTACAAAATAGTTTAATAAACCAAACTTACTATGGCATGTATACGTCTAAACTCAGTCTGAACTGAGTTACGAGCATTAGAAGTTTAATGATTTTCATACTAGATTTGCTTTTTGTGTGCAATTTTTGTAAGAAATTGCAACAAAATATTGCGCTATTTTTTATTGCGCTGATTCTGCTCCATACTGATGTCTGGAGCCTTTAATGGATGGTATTGTTTGTTTACACATACAATCTCACTATTTTGTTGCTATTTCTTACAAAACTTTGCGCGCAAAAAGCAAATCTAGAATGAAAATCATCAAACTTCTAATTCTCGTAACTCAGTTTAGACTGAGTTTAGAGGTATACATGCCATAGTAAGTTTGGTTTATTACACTATTTTGTAATCAAAAAACTAAGTTTGGTCGATGGCCGCGCGAAAAAAAAAAGACGCCAATTTCCGGCATTGTCTTTTATGTCTTGAAACGCTGGTAGGGTAAAAAAAATAACGAGATTTGACGATTTGTAAGAATTACTTTATTTTAAAAAGGTAAATAAAGATGTTTTTGGTTTTGTATTTAATAAATTATCAGTTTTATCGGAATTAATTAATTTTCGAATCGAGCCACACGATATCTTTCGATGACTTTGCGAATGCAGTACGATGATACGATTACTTTTACGGTGCGGCAATCACTAAAATTCGCTAAAATGACACTAATGACGTTTAAAAAGTGGCACNGTTATCTGGGCATTGTGTATCGTTTCTAAATATGGGAAGGAACAATAGTGTTAAACATCAATATACTTATCTGTCACGTATGCTGTTAGCACCATAAAGTGTATTATGTATTTATTTATACACTTTTATGTTTAAAAAGTATATCTCTATACATAGAGCAAGGAACAGTGCAAGAAACTTTAGTTAACAATGTCAACACCTCTTGCAATGTTTAAGTTAGGAGCTAGAGAATCGTAAATCACTCGCACATTTTTGTTGGTTAAATAGTTTTAACTTTATTAAATACTTTAAAGTCCACTAAAACGAATATTGCCTCAAAATGCATGTTCGTTTAAACATGTTTTCAAAGTTTCTAAACACATTTTCAAAGATACTTCCAAGTGTAAAAGTTGAATTTTCGACACGGAAAGAATTGCGGACATTTTCAGGACCCAAATTATTTTGGTTCAGTTTTTAAATATTTTGGCCCAATGCTAGATATATCACAGACTAGATTTCGTGAAATTTAGACGAATAAAGTAAAACGAAAACGAACGAACTCAGCAATAACAATATGACTATCTATCGGTGAAAGAATTTTTAAAATCGGTTCAGTAGATCCCGAGATTACCCCTTACAATTTAACAAATATACAAAAACACAAACTTTACCTCTTTATAATATTAGTATAGATAAGTTATTATTTCGAAATTCACAGTTGTAGTTAAAATGCCTGCCTAATTGACATATGCAACAGACAGGTAGGTATTTGCAAAGCTTTAAAGTTTGTGTGTATCATAAGTCACCTCCGAGCAATCGAATGTGGGTAGGGCTAGGGCAATGTACTCTGTAAATAAGACTGTTTGCACAGGCGACAGCACATTGGACTATACCTTTTCACTGAAAAATAGCACCTATTTGGAAATACATATAAGATACCACACTTACTTACAAACTGCAAATTAATAATGTTTGTTAGTTTGCTGTACATAACGTGACGCAAAGAAAGTGTTGTGAATATGGCTCTAGTTTGTAGTATAGTGTTTTTTACAGTAATCTGAGTAATAGGTTTGATTCTCAGCATACATTCATAGTGATGACAAAAAATAAATCAATGTGTTTCGCAGTTAATTGAACTTGATGGATTTATTTAACTTTCTTCGATTTCCTCAATGGAACTTTTCGGAGTTTTCAGAACCACTTCAAAATGATAAATCGTATTGAACTTTTTCAAGATACATTTCACAAGATTGAGAAAAAACTGCCACAAAATCGTCGATAGACAATTGAAAAATTTGTTCAATTCATTTTACTACTAGATTTGAAATCATTAGACTAAATTATTAAAAATGCCTACCCAAAGTCTTTATTCCACGCGGACGAAGTCGCGGGCACAGCTAGTCATTAAATATGTATAAGATGCATATAAATAGTCAAATTAAAACTACGAAAATTCATACAAATCGTAGTTAATTGATTGACCGTGTATAGGTAGGTACTGTAGCGTGTCGTAGCATTTGTAGCGAACATGATAATTTTATTGGGCCTACTATAGCTATGAGAGCAAATAAAATCCAAAAGTATTTAAGAAAAGTGTGTTCCTACTTATTATTTAAACTAATATTATTAATTTTCAATTCATTTTCTTGTATATCTTTAATTCCAAATGATTACCTACCTACTCACGAGTGTTTTTTGTATGCAATAAAAGTAAAGCAGATAAATGGCTTTGTTCTAAACAAACTTTAATATTGACTGAAATAATTATGTATGTTGCTGAAATGATAATGTAATTCATAATTTCATAACCAAGTTGCATCATGATAATCCAAAATTACAAACGTGAAACAATCTTACTAATACTTATTAAGTATAAACGCGAAAGTTTCTATGTTTGTTACTCTTTCACGCAAAAGTTACTGAGCGGATTTTGATGAAACTTTACAGTATTGTTGTTTATAACCCAGAATAACATATAGGCTATAATTTATGACGATCTGTGATAAACTAAATTTCACGCGGGTGAAGTCGCGGGCAAAAGCTAGTGAAAACATTATGCACCTTTCAGCAGGTGAGTAAATGGCGGTAAATTAGAAATCATTTCCGCGATCATTATTACGCTTAAACGCTAGAAAAAAAAAACCGTCATCGTCATTTGCAATTATAATAATCA